AGGATGAGTTTTCCATCCCCTAGATGGGCTACTTTCCCAGGCTGACGAGTCCCATCTGCCCCTCACTTCTCTCTGCAGCAGATGCAGAAACCGCCTTCTTGACAGTTGGACCCACTTTTGGTCTCGCCCGTTCAATCTGCCGGAGCCTGTCTTTGCATGCAGGGGAAGGTAAAGAGGAGGGCAATGAAGCATTATTTCTGCACACTAGGGAGGTGGAAAGCACACACTTAACCCCCCCCCCCGTTCTCTACTCTGCTGGGATTGCACCATTAGTGAATGAGGCTTTGGGGCCCACGTGAGTGCTTTAACATGGACGTGACCTCTGCTGGCTTAACCTCTGCCCACCTTATTAAAACGGCTTTAATGTAGACAAAAGGGGAGTGGGGGGCACAGCAACTCACGTCAGGAGGATCAGAACGATGAGCATTCCCTGAAAGGGAGGGGAAAGCCGGGAAAGTGGGACACCGAAGGGGAAAGATCGCAGCGGTGCTAAAGGAATGTGAAAGAGAAAGGAGGCGGGAAGGTAAAGACTGGGGGGGAGGGGGGAGGATATGTTAGTAATTGAGTTCTAATATAGGTCAGGCTGGAAGAAGCATTCAGAGTGAGAGGCGATCAGAGACAAAAGAATATGTAAGGCATATAGTAGTTCTGGACTCTACCTCTGGCGGTGCGGCGGCAAATGTGGCCCTCCAGTCTTCTCTGTCTGACCCCCGAGACTCCAGGCTACACTTCTTCAGCCACACACCCCTTCCCCAGGCCACACCTCTCTCTCTCTTTTTTTAAATGATATTTATTAAGGTTTCAAAAAAAAAAAGATTACATAGATAAGAAGAAAAGAAAAAAAGAAAAAAAGAAAGAGATAAAAAAAAGAAAAAATACAAAATACAGAAAAAAGATAAAAAACACTTAAAAACAAATCCATCTTCCATGCCTTACATTTCATTTCCTTGCTTCCCTGACCTCCTCACACCTCCCTTTTTTGTATTCCAGTTCAATTAGTTAATTCAGCAATTCCTTTCCCTCTTTTTGTCTTAATCCTTTAACTTAATATATTATAACTTTAGATTCTCACCTGTTAACAATCCATTTTTACCTACACCTTTATAACATTGCTGCTAAAACCACTTAACTTCATTCTGACATCATTCTAACATTCATTAATTTTGCAGTATTTCTGTAAATAGTCTTTAAATTTCTTCCAATCTTCTTCCACCGACTCTTCTCCCTGGTCTCGGATTCTGCCAGTCATTTCCGCCAGTTCCATATAGTCCATCACCTTCATCTGCCATTCTTCCAGAGTGGGTAAATCTTGTGTCTTCCAATACTTTGCAATAAGTATTCTTGCTGCTGTTGTGGCATACATAAAGAAAGTTCTGTCCTTCTTTGGCACCAATTAGCCGACCATGCCCAGGAGAAAGGCCTCTGGTTTCTTCAGAAAGGTATATTTATATACCTTTTTCATTTCGTTATAGATCATCTCCCAGAAAGCCTTAATACTTGGGCATGTCCACCAAAGGTGACCCAGGCCACACCTCTCAGCAGGTCTGCTTTGCACCCACCTGGAGCGTTTTTGCCAATTGATGTTTTGTTGAGCTCTAGCCATCCCTCTTGCTTGCCTGGACGGAGAAAGGAGAAGTGTGTGTAAGACGAGTCTAATGTTCAAAGGCAAAACTTGCAGGTGTTGCTCCGCCCCACCTTTGCCTCCGCCCCCCGCGGATCAAAGTCAGGAGACTAAAGGGAGCCCAAGAGCTCATACGTTACAAGCAGTAAATAAATACTGAATTGCAACATTGCCAAGCTGGTGTCTTCCAGATGGTTTGGACTACTACAGCATCAATCAGCACCAGCCAGCATGGCCATGGTAGTCAGAGCCCCAAATATCTGGAAGGCACCAGGCTGGTGAAGATCGGTATAAGTGGTGGCTGCCCTCATGACGACAGTCCATACACTGGTACCTCCTAGATGTTTTCGATTACAGCTCTCGCCACCCCTGACCATCTCCCTTTCTTTCTGCAAATTAATTCCACTTTCTTCCCACTGACCTCCTTCACTTTACTTCCAATGCTGCCACCTTCTGGGAGAAATGAAGCCGGCCACATTTTGTAGCATTTTGCAATGAGCATCTTGTAGAATTTTTGAAGTCAGGCCTCTCCTCCCCTGCCCCAGGGCCATTTTACCAACCATTTGTTTGGCAGGGGAATATGTGGAGATATTCCTGTGTGTGTATGGCCATGTGAATCAAGGGCAAGGGTTACACTGCACTGAAGAATTAAGGAGGATCTTCTTTCCTAATCTAGAGCCTGGTTCCTCTCATTCAGTGAGACCAGCACTGGTCAGCCATATAGAAGCAAATTCCAGGAAGAAAAAATAAAAAATTATCTGGGCTGAGTTTGTGACCTGAAACACAATAATTGAACAGCTCAGACATTCATCTATATATTGTGTTTTGAACATTTAAAAAACTGCCTTACAGGAGGTTATATTGTATGTTCATTTCAACCAGTGTTGTGTATTCTAGCAGTGGCTCTCCAGGGTCTCTCTCAACACCAGGTGCCTAATTTTTTAACTGGAGACACTGGGAATTGAACCCGGAGCCTTTTGCATGCATTCCACCATGACATTAGGAGTTATGGTGTAACCAGTGAGAGAAACAAGGTTTGTTTTGCACACAGCCGGATGCGTCCTGGGGGACTTCACGTAGATGCTTTTGGAGTGGTTCCCTCCTTATAAACTGTTCCTTCTGCAAGAGTGGGGGACCAATTAAGATGCCCTGCGCTCAGAGACTTGACGATGGATTGCTGAAGTCTCTAGGAGACTTTCCAGTAGAAAGAGGTGGTGATCCAGTTAAGGCTCTCATCTCACTGTGGAATGGTGAGTTCTGAAGGACTATTGACACGATCGCTCCTGAGCGACCGACCTTCTTCAGTGCTGTAGAGTCCGCAATGCCCTCTGGTATTCTAGTGAATTCTGTGTGATGAAACAAGAGGGATGACAGCCAGAGCACTGGTGGGGTAGAACTCACTTCCAAGGCCAAACAAGCACTGTTTACAGCATCAATAAGGGCAGCGAATAATTCTTTTTTCCACGGCCTCTAATGGGTCCTCAAGTAACGCTTTTGCAGGTCAACTGGAATCTGGTCTCACCTGTTGGTGGTGATGTGCCTCTGGATCCAACAGAATCCTGCTGAGATAATTTGCTTCATCGTTTTCAGGATGAAGTTGCTTGACTTCAGAGCAATTTATGCGCTACCAATATGGTTCCAATTCAAGCAGAGGTGTCCATTGCTAAGTCTTCCTTAACTCTGTGGGGTCAATTTTAGTTTATGAGGCCCGATGTTGTGGACAAGGGGCTTGTGGGGTTGTGCCCTCTTGAACCCTGCCCATTGTGGCTGGTGAAATTCATCAGGGTCTTTTCAAACATCAGCCCAAAGGTTGGGAGACACAATTGTGTTTTCAAGAGTTTGGGGAATAATAATAATTTCATTATTTGTACCCCCGCCCATCTGACTGGGTTGCCCCAGCCATTCTGGGCAGCCTCCAACATACCGTATATAAAAACATAATAAAAATTAAAAGGCTTTCCTATACAGAATTTGCCTCCTCCCACTCCTCCAATATGTTGTTGGATTACAACAAAGGCAGAAAACTTATTGCCTTATTGTACTACAACTCCCATAATTTCTGATCACTGCCCATGTTGGCTGGAGCCACAGTCCAATAAAATCTGAAGGGCAGCATATTTGCTATCCAAGTTTTGACATGCTGACAAGTTTTGTGTGTTGATTGTGCAACTTATTTTTCTCCTGTTGATGGGTATGTGTCATGGGGAGTTCTGTTAGTTATTGTTCATATTCCTAACACTGTTTTTATGTGTAAGCTGCCTTGTGGACTTATGCAGGTCTCATATGGTTCTGAAGGTGGGATAATACATATCATAAATAAAGAAAATAAATAGTGACTGAGATATTGGGGCTGTGGAAGGAGGAAGAGATTGGGAAGAGACATATCCATGCAATGAAAAGATAGGAGCCTGGTAACAACATATATTTAGATTAGCTTGCAAACCCAACTGGGTATAACCTGCTCTTTTTATGTATTTTGTAAAGCAACCTAACATTTTAAGCACTTCACAATTATCATAATCTTGTTTATTCCCAACAAAATTCAAGAAAGTTTTTATTCACAATATAACTATGTATAAACAATAAAAGCTGTAAGAAAGTCAGTAAATGTTATTATATAATCTATAGACAAACTAATCTGTACAAGACATCAAAACAAAATGTGATTCACTAGTTTCAAAGTTTCTGGAGAACAGATCTGTTGTCCACTACTTTCTAAAAGCAACTGCAATTGGAATTCTTTGCCCAATTCCTTGCCCTAAAAACCTCAGCACAACTCTCCCATAGTTAATAAAAAGTATATTTGAAGAACTTAAACTTATGATGACATTATGTTCCCAGCTGAAATGAAACTCCTTCTGGGTTTCAAAAAACCGTTTACCAAAACACCATCAGCCAAGGTTCAATTTTTATTTTGTGAACAATTTGATACAAAACATTACAGTACTTCAAATAAAAACAAGCAGAGAGACAAACAATATGGGCATTTCAAATAAGGCACATGTAAAAAAAACCCCACACATCCAGTGAAATAGACAGGTTCTATATATATATTTGGAGGTAGAAATAATTACAAAAATATGGAACAATTTTAAGCATTAGCAGTTCAGTTCAAACTAGGATCCCATTTTAAAATTGCCTTGGTAAGATAGCTTATGTGGCATTTTATGCACTACATTTTTGTGGCAACTCTATTTTTTGCTTCGGAGTAGCAGAGTGGGGAGGAAAAGAAACTATACCATGAGTAATACAAGGAAATTACAAAAAGTTATAAATGTCCATACAAATGTTTTTAATAACAAGAAATTCTTGAAGCACCACATTTTAATTTCCCCCTCAAATTAAAAAGATATCTACAACACTTTTCTTTATATTATTATTAGAGACCTAATGATGCTTTTAATAGTGTTGCTATATCTGCTGGAATGGCCCCTTCTTCTCCTGCAGAATAAAAAGAATGAATCAGAGGTGTATTTGTGAAGAAGCATTTCATGCAACCAAATAATCAGCATTCTACACAGCTAAAAAACCTGCAACCAGTAATAATCCATCCCCTTCTGCAACCTTGCTGACTTCTTAAGGTGGGGGGGGGGGTCCAAGCGACCTCAAATCAGTTTGGGTGTTACATTATGGCTAAGGACTAATGATGTAAAGAGTAGCTTGGATATGTACTTGCAAAACCAGAGACACAAACCATGCAAGTCTCTAGGTTTTGTACTGTTGTGCTGAGCCTGATACTATGCTTGCACAAGGTGTGATCCAATATGGTAAGTGGCACAGTAAAATATCTGGCTTGCAAGCATCTAGCATCCAGCTAGATGTGAAAAAGTGGTATAATCTTAAGAAAGCCATCAAAGCAGTGGGCTAGTATTCAAAATGCTACACTGAGCACACTACCCAGGCTCCTGCCTTTGGAAAAGCTTCAGATATCCATTAATCAACAAGAGATTTCTACTCTGGAAATAAGGGGCAAGGAATGTGTTGCGTTGGAACTGAATTCGCAAGTTTGTCCAAACAGCAATACGCTACTTGTTTTCCCATTAAATTCCTTCCCCATTAAATTCTTGTCCTTTAGAATTCTTATTCCAAAACAATGTTTTAGAAGTATGTCTGAATAGGAGAAATATAAGAGATCTTTTCCAACATCCATTACATTTAAAGTACTGTGATGAATCTGCCATTGCACCAGCTGTTAAGAGCTGCCATGTGTTGACAAATTGGTGAAATTAAATATTGCTTTAACTGCACATTCTGCTTTCTTGCATTACTTTTTAACATCTTAACCCAAAAAGTCACAACTTCAACTGCCCATAAATTATCCATTTCTCTTCCCCATTGGTCTCCTGGCACAATGAACCTAAATATTGTATTTCTTTGATCTCTCTCACAGCTTGGGGCCCAGAGCTGCTTCTACTTAGCATATTCAAGATGGTGTTGCAAGAGCTTACCTGCATCTGCTGCTGTCATGTCTTGTTCTAACTTTAATTTCTGCTGACTAATTCTCAGCATGGATTCCTCTATAGTCCCTTTACTTATGAGCCGTATCACTTTCACTTCTCTTAAAATAAAATAAAAAGAACATGTTTGTTCATACAATTCTGTAAATCCCGATTTTGTCATGAGTGTTTTATTTCCATTTAAATTTCCAGCAGTTCTACAGAAAACAACAGTGCTTGCACGTTAATTATTTTTAATGAAGACTAAGTGTCTCATCACATACACCTCTGTGAAAAAATAATATTCCAATATAAAATTAATGGGAAATGAATTCAAGTTTTATCCAACACTTTACCAGTTATACCAGCTTGCTTACACCTCTACACACACAAAAAAAATCTCTTCTAAAGATTTAGAATATTTGATGCAGTGTATCGTGGATAATTTATTTTGTTTACAACTAAAGTTTCTCCTCATACACTAAAAACTTACCTAGTTTGTCCTACTCTATGGCATCGGTCTTCCGCCTGCTTGTCATTGTAAGGATTACAGTCAATGTCATGGAGGATGACCACATTGGCTGAGGTCAGATTAATCCCTAGACCACCGGCTTTTGTGGAGAGCAAAAAGATAAATATACCCATATCTGAATTGAACTCATCTATCAGATGTATCCTACCAAAAAGAGAGAAAGCAAAGCAGTCATCAGTATACAAGCCTATTGTTGTTTTGCCTTCATCTATTTGAGCTGACACACACAGGTATGCTCAAGTCAAGCATGCTCACAAGCAAACCATTTTAGATCATACCCTACGGATATTCCTTTCATACAATATGTTTCAATGGAGTCAGTTCAGACATTCAGATTGCTATTCCATGTACACGAACCCGAGTGTGAACTCTGCTGGAACACAGTGGGACTTCATTCTGAATAAACACTGCTCTGTCAATTGCTAGTCGGGGTACAGAGAATTCAGCCATGTATAGGCTCCATGCTTCGGCGCTCATTAGTCATTTATATGATGATTTCCAGACAGCATGTCTACAGTTAGCTCAATCAACTGTGCACTGTGTAATTATTATCTTTGTTTTAGGCTTTATAGCAATTATTTCCAGTTCCTTTCATTCTATGCATTATACGAAGGGAAGAAATTTTAACCATCTTGCTTCAAGAGTTTTTCATTAACTTGAGGTGTTTTATAGATCTCCTCTAATCCCCAGTACTTTCCAGAGTCAAGCTCGAATAGAGGCAGAAATGACTATTAGTTGGACCCGATAATGCTCCCTTGTGTTCTTGTGGAAGTTTCACCTACCTGTCTGAAATTTGTGTCTTTCCATCCAGCCTCAGGTATCGGTGCTGCTTATGTTTCAGAAGAACCTCTAGGATGTCTAGCATCATAGTAAATTGGCTGAACAGGACAACTCTGTCACCCTAAAGGAAGGAAGAGCAGTATTTAAGAAAAAACCCACGTGTGCACCTGAAAGTTTGTTTTATACATATCCGCAAAGTTCAGGCACTTGAACAAAAGCCACCTTGTGTAAGATTCAAATTCTCTTCAACACTACGGAACAATTGGGAGATAAACAGCATGCTGGCCTTTTTACGGGTTGCAAACTTACAAGTCCTGAGTAATGATCTGAAGCCACAGGCAAGACTACACTTGGAGCAACCAGTATATTCACAATGAAACCCAGGAACAGAGAGAAAATGCCCCAGGATTCAATTACTTTACGCTGGCTTACATAGCACAACAATATGTTGTGATCTGAAGTACCAAGTTTCAGGAAAGTTGAGGTGTTTTAAAAACAAGCCTTTATGTTTCTTGTTTGACTGAGTACTCAACAGCCAACAAATTCAACAAATATTTGAACAATATCCGAGTCCATTTTTGTTACATAGGTATGCTTCCTACTCTTCAAGGACAATGGAGTGCCAATTTAGGGTGAAGAATGAAAACTTGAGTCCCTGCTGGCTTCCCCCACCTGGGGTCCTCCAGATTTTTTGGCCTACAACCCCCAACAGCTCCAGTCAGCATGGCCAATCATCAGGAAGGATGGGAGTTAAAAGTCCCATGACATTTAGTTGGCACCAGGTTGGAGAAGGCCACCCTATGCAGATACTACCAAGGGGTAATTTGGGGAGCAGGCAAGAACTTTAACCAGGGTTAGTTACAAGCCAAGGTGTTGGTGGGGAGGTGGAGGGGAAGGAATCTGTTGACTTCTGAACTCTGACTAGGGTTATTTCTGGCTCACATCCATCCTCATATTGCTGGGAATTTGAGGTAAGTCTTCTGACATCCAAGCCTAACACTCAAACGGCTTTCTACAAGATTTAGTGACATTAAAACACAGCACAACTGATATTAGCACATTTATGTGTAAGATGTGTGTATATTCTAGGATGTCCAAAATATACTTTTAGAACAAACCTTTTCTTTGAATTCAGACAAAATGCGCTCTAGTGTTCTAAATTTTCCCGAATCCAAAATTAGATCCATTTCAAGCTTGAAGTCATTAATATTTGCATACTGTTTACAAAGCAAATGCAATTCATAATCTGTCATCACAGACATATCTTCAAATATAAGGTCAGGGTTTGCTTCACAGTGTGTAGGCTCCTAAAACAAATAATCATAAATCAAAATGAAGCAAGCTATTTAGGAACTACCAATATTTCTTCAGGCTTTCTTTTCTAAGTTTACTAATGGATTTTTGAGTGTAAGTGCTGTTAGAAAATTTTAGATACATTCAATAGTCATAACATGTTAGAACAAAAAGAATAAGCCTGACAATAGGCAACAATCACCTCCCTGTCCCACTCATCTCTCAGATAATATAGGGTTTTTTGGGGGGAGGGGGGAACATGTGTGCCGTGCCTATACAGAAGGTAAAAATGTTTATGACTGTCTTTTCAGTAGAAAATCGGGACTAATCCTAGAGCTGGAGAAAATATTGTGACATTTGTATACACATAGTTATAAAACTGCCTACAGTGTGGTTCATATGAGTACAATTAGCTGTTGAAGAATTATTTCTCAGACCTGGCAGATTAGGGATTGGAATGGAATGTCAACTTCTGTACAAATGTGATGCAACCAAGAAATGGCAAGGCCAAATCCTGCCTTGTTAGCTATGTATACCACACATGCCTTGAAAACCATGCTTCCCAAGAGCAATCATAATCCAAACAGCAGGATTTAAGTTTACAACAAAGGTCAGAAACAACTGTATTCTACGATGAAGTGGTGGCACAGGAGAAAAAGAAGGGCCGGTGCACTGCCTCACTCCTCCCTTATCCACCTGCTCAAGTGAAGAATGGTCCTTGTGAGGTATTTGCTGGGGTGTGAGTGGGAAGAGAAAGGGAGAGAAAACTAATACAAACAAAGTGTTACTGTTCTTTGGACTGTTTAACGCTATACTTCCTTCCTTAATTACATACATACACAGTTTAGAACTTCTTGTATCTGGGGAAGGAGGCTATTGTCCATCAAATTTTATGCTCAATAAATTTGTCAGTTTTTAAGGTGCTACAAAATTATTTAGTCTTGTTACTTGGGGGAGGGGAAGAGAAAGGGTTGGCCTTACTGGTTTTTATTTGGTCGCATTTTGCTGAATGACATCCTTGCACTTTTCATGTTTTTGGTACATATTCAGTTTCATTTACAGAGATAAATTATTTTTAAAGTTTCCTATCTGTTTCCTCTAGTGTGGTCAGATCACAGAAAACTGGACCCTTTGTCTTGTTTCATACCTCAATCTGTGACACACTTAGAATTCCAGCAATGTTTTCCTAAGGAAGCTTTCTCTATTCTCTATTGATAGTTTGAGACATTAAATGATATAATTTTCTAAATGCAGGACACATAGTTGAACAATAACTATTTGTTAATAACCAAATTAAAATGCACCAAGAGCCTACTGGATTATTCAAATCCAGCACCTTACCTTGAGCATAAGTTTTGACATCACTTTAAGTTTCTCTGCTGTATAATACTGACGGTGAAGAAGAGGATGATTGGCCATTTTTCTTAGCTGCATCATGACATTGCCCATTTCTGAATTCTTTTCTAGGGTTAGAAAACAAATGATATATATGTATATATCCAGTGGATATTTTCTATCAATATACCCACTACAATAGAATAGCTCAGTATTTCTGCTCCATAGATGATAAAAGGAACAGAGGAAGATGTAAACACCAACGCACCATGACTGTCAATTGATTTCTTTAAGCAGCTGAACAGATCTTGGTATAGCTTTTCCTGCTTCTCAGACATTTCACACTGTTCAACAATATCTTTTTTGGGAGGCAACTGTTTGAGGACCTGGTGGGAGAAAACAACATTTTGAATTATTTGGCTACCAAGCATTTGAACTTAGAACCAGCACGTACTGAGCTGGAGGCTGTTCCTGTTCAAAGAAACCTGTGTTCAGGTGATTTAAGTTAGTCTAAAGCAACCAGTATAGGCTAAAAATAACAAAAACAAATCACCAAACATACCTCATCTTTTACTCTTCTCAGGATGAATGGTTTTATTATCTGCTTGGCATGTGCAATTCTCTCTTTTTCATATACACTGTGTTCCTCAGTTGCTTTCTAGAGAGGAAGAACATATGCTGAATTGTATATCAATTGTGGATGCAATCAAGTTTGCTGAGAAAGAGTCTTACCATTTAATAAAAAGGAATGTTCTGAATGTGAATGTTTTGTAGTGAATGGTTGTGATTTCTAAAGCATTTACTATAGCTCCGCTAGCCCAAAACAGGGGTATTATGTGGTGGTATGCATGAAGACTACATAATGACTTTTTAGGTAGTCTGCAAGGATACCGTAAGTTATAAAGACAGTGCTCATTATGAAAAATGTACAAGATTCCGAGTCATAAAAATGTTTTTCAAGTATACTTACTGCTTTAGAAGAGAACATCCTCCGAATTTCACTAGTGCTACTACTGAACATCCGTGGCATGACAAAATTCAAGAGCGACATAAGTTCTAAAAGGTTGTTTTGCACTGGCGTCCCTGTTAACAGCAAACGGTTTTTTGCCTATATTCATAAAAAAAATGAAAGCCATTAGCAGATATAAAATGAGATAATCTATTCAAAATGACATTTCAACAGGAGAATGATTTTACTGTTGAGCAATCAAATAGTCTCAAACTAACTGCAGTTTATCATTACCCTTATAAACCCAGGATAGGTGTGCCTAGAGTTACAGCTTAATTTTGTAAAGCAAAAATCAGGATGCAACTCATGCACATTTTAACACAATTTTACTGAGACAATACTTGAAAACTTAAGGCAACATTTACAAGAAAGTACCAAGAGTAGTAAAGGGCATAAAAAATCTTACATTAATTGTCATCAGGTGTTGATAGCGAACAGAACCCATGTTTTTTAACATGTGACCTTCATCAAAGATTGCATAATTAATTTTCATCCGACGAAACAGACTGCGGTCTTCTGGACTGCTAATTGCACAGTTATACCTATCAAGAGAATGAACTATGAGCATATATGCCTATATATTTTTTTATTTCTCTCTCTCCCTCTCACACATATATCTCATGTAAAACCAACACGTGAGGAGAGGGGAAGCAAGACTAGTGTGTTAAATCTGCCCCCATTGCCCTCCATGAATTGCGGGGGGGGACTTCTTCAGCAGGGGACCTTTCCTACTTGTGTATGTGTCCCACAATACGGTAGGCTTCTCAATCATGGAAGAAGCCTTCATTAGTAGTGCAGGAGCCTTGCTTCAGAAATTATTCTTCCAACTCATGGAGGGTGGATGGTAACAGAGCTAGCATGATTGTTCTCATCCCTTCCCCAATGCAAATTGATTTAACACAGAAGGGAAAAATTGAACTACAAATTCAGTATATTCTGACATTCAGAAAGGCCAGGAGACACTGCTGTGATAACATAGGGTTGCGTTTTTTCACCGTAATGCCCTCCACTGAATCTAGAGGCAACAGTAACTTAACCCTGTGTTAGATCCAAGGAAACGTGAGCAGAAGGAAAGTAACTGCTGGTACTATTCAGCAAACATTTGGGCAAGTGAGTTTGCAGAGTGCTACAGCACTTCTTGTGCTTTCAAGAATATCCTCGGTTTTTGTTTCATTTCTCATGCAATGTTGTAGCACAAAACATAGAACTGTATTTCCATGACATGAACAGAGCTCATTTCCTACACATAGGAGGATACCCCCAAGTGGTAAATTGTGTATTGAGTGCCAGGACTGTTTTATAGTAACACTCAATAGTCAACACACAACTCTGAAATTAGGATCAAATGAGGGAAGTCAAAACCCAGCAATTAATTGTTTTATATGAATTTTAAACTATTACAGACAACACCTCTGCATACACTTACTATATACAATGTGCTTAAAAAGACTGATGTTGCCAAAATACCGTCTGATTTTCCCCAATGCCAAATCCTATAATGACTTTTTACTCAGTCCTAGAAAATACCCAACATTATGAGCAACGACTTATTGTGTAAGAAGAAATATATTTTATATAGCACATATTCCTGGAGGGAAATACGATCTCTGCATGCTCTGTACATAGCCAAGTAACTCGCAATGTAAGCCCTTCTGGGACCCCTGTGAGTGGGGAGGGGTTGGAGCGCAGAGTGCCATGAGAACAGAGGTCTTTTCGCTGTAACGATTTCCCCCAATGTAATGTTTCTTTTTCTTTTCCTTTTCCCCAAAGGAGCGAACAATAAACATTTTGTTATACAGGCACCAAACCACTTGCACACAATCAGCACCCGCCCTGTTTTTGGTGCTGCAAAGGGGCGGAACAGGGTGGACTTACATGTGTCCCGCTGATGTGTGTGGCAGCCAGGAGCACAACCCCTGTGCAAGTGGAAAGCTGCCTGTACAGAAGAAGGGGAAGGGGTGCCTGTGGGGATACCACTGGAGTAAAAAAACATGTTCTATGTGATCCTAAGCAATGAGAATCAAGCTTACTCCCATCTGTATAGCCCCAGCCTGGTTTCTGCATAGGTATGTTTGGGACTGACTTAGCAGATTTAAATTGAACAGCATGTGGGATAGTTTGAAAGAAGTGCATGGTTAGGAAACAGCAAGTGGCTAAATTTCCTTGTACTTACGTTGTCACAATGACATTGAAATCTGCAACTTTATTATGGATATCCATTCTGAGATGCCTCCTGTCTTCTTGCGAGCCTAGACAGAAATAAGACTTCATTTTCCCCCAGTTCTAGAGAATGGCTTTATAAAGCCTCAAACTTCTCTGCAATTCACAATGTTGTTTAGGGAGTTTTGATACCCACATGAAAAAAGGCGTACTGTCTGCATTTTATCTACAAATGTTTTATTCTAAAACAATATAATTTCTTACCGTAATAAAATAAAACTTGGAGTTCAGGACACCACAGGTTCACTTCTCTTATCCAGTTATCTGTTTTTTAAAAAAATGAATTAAATAATTACAGAAGTATGCTATGTGTACATACAGATTAATGTTAGTCCCAGTTTTGTTTTTACTAAACTACAAGTCGAGAATACTGTGTGGATTACAATCGCTGTTGTACAGCCAAAAGAGTGGACTTCATTGAAGAACACCTCAGTTCAAAACCCCACTAAGCTCTGAAACTCATCCAGTGTCGTTATCTCTCATCCCAACGTATCTAATTGAGAGTTTAGTGGGGGAAGCACTATTGTGTGCTGCCCTGAGCTTCCTTGAAGAAAATTGCACATAGATATAGTAATGCATTATGTAGTATACATTTTTACTTCAAGTAAGCTGCTATTGATTTTTAATCCCACAAAGCCTGTTTATAATTGGAGCCTTAAAAAAAAGAAAATAAATTCCTCGCTTACCTATTGTTGACGCAGGCACTACAATCAAATGTGGACCTACATCACCCACTTCATAAAGATATGCCAGAAATGCAATTGCTTGAATGGTTTTTCCTAAACCCTGTGTAAAAGTTGAGATAATTTAAAATAAAATACTATTGCCTTTGCAGTACTGATAAAGTTAAACAATGAAATGTTAGCCCATAATATTTCTCAAGCTAGTTTTGGGTTTTAAAACTGGAAAATGGAGGTTTGTAGTCAAAAATATTATTTTGTTAAACCCTACTCTTTAAGAACCGCGTAACCAGGTTTGGCTGACAGAGGCAGGTCAAAACCGCTGGTCTCCACATTATCCATCACATAGGAGCCAGCAAGTAAAGTTAAAAGTTAAGTGATTTGAGTACATAAGCAGGTACAATTAGCATACACCCCTTGACCTTAGAATAATAGAACTGTAGAGCTGGAAGAGCCCACGAGGGTCATCTAGTCCAACCCCCAGCAACCAACCTTGTCCCTTCACAGGCCTTTCTCTTAGGAATGGAATATCACTAGCCAGTGAGGCAAAGGTTGCCCAGTATTCTCCTGGGATCTAACTTGAGGAGTCCTATGGAGACCCCTGTTCGTCCTGGTGAAGCACAAGGTACCATTTGAGCCGCTCCCCCAATGGCTGTCTCTGCCACTCAAAGTTCTCTGGCTCAGACCTGGGACTATACTTCATAGAATCACAGAACTGTAGAGTTGCAAGGGACCCCAAGGGTCATCTAGTCCAAACTCCTGCAATGCAGGAATCTCAGCTAAAGCACCCATGACTTCAAGCTCAAGGGAAGTAGTTGATCATTGGAGGAAGGCTCCACCTGTCACAAGGACTCAAGGAGGGAGGGGAATGGACATAGTCTGTAACCCCTGGCAAGTCTCAGAAACGTTAAAATCACTCACTCCCTTCTTGCTAGTAGCACATAACAGTATTACCACCCACTGAACATCCCCCTGCCCAAGAGACAATGAAAACTTAAAAATCATTTTGGGGCAGCACAGAATTTCTTTCCTCACTTTCCTTCTAGAACAGCACGAGGATCTCTCTCTCCGATGCCCAACCATGTGCATGTATGATTGCTATTAAAACTATTGGAAAACTGTGTAACAGGCCACAAGCTAGTTTCTCCTACTAAACACTTCGCTACTGAGTAGCAGAAGCAAACCTTACCATTTCCTATTCTATTAGATCACAGTCTTCCTAGTTAGCTAAGGCCAGCCTCAGATAATTTGCTAACACTGGCCATGCAGTTATAAATGTAATGACTAGTTGAAGTGATAATAATGTCAACTTACCATTTCGTCAGCTAATATGCCATTTAGCGAATGCTTGTGCAAAAGTGCTAGCCAATTTAAACCAATCTTCTGATAAGGCTTAAGCTCCATGCTGATAATAAAGAAGAAAATGCACCATTAACACTCATGGAAACTCAAATCTAATGACCTGATGTTTACCAGGAATGTAGTACAGTACTTTTTAAAATAAGGTATTTGGAGCTTTTATGTTATTTGGGTGGCTTGCCTTTTTTTTGTCTGTCTTTCATTTGGGATGTGAATGTGTGTTCTGCCCATTAGGGAGGGGGTTCTAAGCATCACTAGTTTTCTTCTTCTGTGAAATAGCTATTTAGTGGTGCTCATGACAGTTTTGATTTTTGCCAAAAGGTTGGGGACCTCTGGACTAGCTATTCCAAAACATGCAATTTTCACAAGGAGAGAGAATGAGAGTAGTGATTTTGCTTCATATGGATAGGGCACCATGGGTGCTGGCCATTTTTCAAAACCAGTCTCCTCATCTAGACTTCGAGGATTTGGAAACCAAACTTCTAGCAACTATTACTTACACCTTTCTTTTATGGTACTTATGTAACATTCACTTGAGAGCAATCCTACCAACCTTGAATTCAGAATGGAAGGCTGATCAATGTTCCATCCGCTTCCACTATCTCCAGTGATCCTCGTCACTTGTTTGGTCAGTTTATTTGAGATCTCTTCACATTTGTTCATTAGCTGTAACACGACGGCTCTCTCTCTCAGTAATATTTTGCAGTTCCATATAATATCTTCTGACAACCCATTGGTCTTGCACATTTTTGTGAACTATGAGAGATCATTGGGGGGGGGGGGTGCAGAGCAAGGCATTACTTCAACATAAAGACAGCAAAAACAAACTGAGCCTGAAGAAACTCAAATGTAGTTTGGTGCCCCAAATTACTCCATTATTCTTCCAAAATACCATGATATTCATTAATTAAAATTGCAATGGTAGGCATACATCTAAAGCTTATGAAGATTTACTTATCAGTGAACACATTTTTATTACTTTGATATTTTGTCCCAGCAACCCTCCTACATTGAAAGAGTTCCTTCTCAGTAGGAAAAGGCAATGTGAAGATGGAAAACTCAGCTGCCAGCTTAAAAATGCTTGAGATTGAGACAAAGGAAAAACAGGCAACGTTGAGGTTAGAAGGGTGGTGTTTGGGTGATTGTCAGATCGCCTTTGCCTTCATTAAAAAACCAAAACTGGAATAGCATGTTATCTCCATTTTCTTGCCCACACAAAATATGAATGGGTGGTATTCAACTAAGTTTTACTCAGAGTAGAACCACTTAAATTAAGGGACCTCGTAACTTAATTTCAATGGGTACAATCCAAGTAAAACTTAGTTGAATCCCATTCATTGTGTATATAATCAGAAATTTGTTCATGCATTTTTAGGGTGAGCTATCTCACATCAAGAAGCACAAAAATATGGGGTTGCATTGATCCAGTTCCACACACAGGCCACTTCTGTCAGAGGAAGGACTAGGAGTCCTTCTCTTTCTCTGTTACTGCAGCTCCTTAAAAAGCTGTTCCAGGACAGTGTAGCTATTGAGGGGCTGCAAGAGAAAAAGTTGCCTCCTCCCCCTCTTTCTCTTGCAGGTGCATCCATTGTTTCGGAGTTATCTTCTGTTCATGGAAAGGCTCCAACCCACTCAATTTTTCAACACCAATATCATTTTTAGTGATCACGTTTAGAACATTGCAAGAAAACTGAAAATCCATGTTTCAACAGCAGAGGGCAACACAGAGCTAAAGATAAGCTGGACTACATTGAAATTACTGTACTATACTTTTTTAAAAAGTGTGTATGCTTTTATTTATTGTGCCTGGCTGAACTCCAAATGAGAGATGAAGGATCTTTATCTACACAAAAAACCTTCAAAACAATCTCTCTCAATTACAAGAAACAGAATTAATGTGCTACTGAAAGTATAACGGGGTATAATTTTTGCACCTACTCATATATTTTTGAAATATAGCATTAGATACTTTAAACAAATCAGCTTCTGTTCTTTCTAGTGTATCTTGATTTCAGTGAGGCTTTTGACAAAATCCTGCTTTTGTGGAGAAGCTGGTAAAATGTGGGCTGGGTGAGGTAACTGTTAGGTGGATTTGTAGCTAGTTGACTGACTAAACCCAAAGAGTTCACTTATGGTTCCTCATGATCCTGGAAAAAAGTGACAAGTGGAGTACTGCAGGGTTCTGTTGTTCTTCAACGTCCATATAAATGATTTGGCTGAAGGAACTGAGAGGATGCTCATTTAATTTGTAGCCAATACCAATCTGGGAGGGGTAGCTAAAGCCACAGAAGACAGAATAAGGATTCAAGATTACTTTAACAGATTGGAGGACTGGGCCCAAATTATCAGAATGAATTTCAATAGGGAAAAATGTATGGTTCTACACTTAGGCAGGAAGAACAAGCTGAACAAATAAAATATGGGGAACTGGGTTTGCCAGTAGTACATGTGAAAACACATGTCTGACCAAACTGCAGGAGGTAGTGGAAGACAGGAGTGCCTGGCGTGCTCTGGTCCATGGGGTCATGAAGAGTCCGACACGACTAAACGACTAAACAACAACAACAACATGTGAAAAGGAACGAAAGGTCTTAGTAGACCACAAACTTGATATGAGTCAACAGTGTGATGCAGAAGCAACAAAAAGTTAACGCTATTCAATGCTGCATCCAAGAAGTTTAGTCTTTGACTCAAGCCTTCCAAGTATTTGTAGATGGCCTCTCTGATCTGCTGAAGGCTGTGCCACCAGTTTGCAATGTGGGTTGTTGTGGCATAAGACAGACATGAGTAGTTACGGCCTTCATGTTCCTGCATCTCCCTTGCATGAGGGAGGCCCTTTCAGTGTCAAGATAATCAACATGGACAATACTTGTCACAGATCTGGCTACAGTTCTAAGACTGCCTCTAGCAGCAGAGAACCACCCTCCATACTTGTTTAAACAGGGAAGTAATTTAAGGATATGAGGAACAGAATGAAAAACAAGCTAATATTTTCCTAATCCCAAAGCTATAATAGCCTTTTGTCGGGCTCACTATTGCAAATGAGTACAATACAGCACCTTAATCTCATGCATAATGTGTAAAATGAAAAGGTATTTTTGTTTTATTTTGCTTTGCGAGGATTGCTTCACAACCATGGCTTGCTTATAAAGCCCATTCAAGGCATTCTGAAAAATCAACATGAGCTAAAAAGGAACTCCTCTGTTTCCTTTGTACTAAAAAAGCATGGCATAGTCTACACTTGTGGCAGAATGAGGTGGTAGAACACCCAAATCCTTGAATGACCAACTCTCTCTGCATTAGCCTACAGCAGGCTTCCTCAAACTCGGCCTTCCAGATGTTTTTGGCCTACAACGCCCATCACCCCCAGCTAGAAGGACCAGTGGCAAGGGATGATGGGAACTGTAGTCTCAAAAACATCTGGAGGGCCAAGTCTGAGGAAGCCTGGCCTACAGGTACTCTTCATGCAAGATGCAAGAAGTATGCAAGATGGTGGCACATGCAGACACTGTGACTGAGTGCTCCATGGAGAGGAGTCAGGGTTTGTTAGGACGAATTATTTATAGCCGACACAAAATGCTGTATTTAATTATGGGGTATCAGAGATTTAATTAGGGGGTATTTAATTAGGGGGTTAACCAGGCTGGGATAGCAGGCTTGTTGGTTTTTTAATGTCTGAAGTAGATTTTTTCAATTTCGTTGTTCTGTATGGGACAATGTCAGTAAAGATTATTGTATCGTATCATATCATGGGAGGCCCTTCTCATTGCTCCACCATTAGGACAAATACATTTTTCTATGTTGGCACCCTGACAGTGGAATATCCTCCTGCAGATGCATAATGGCACTGACACTTCTGTTCTTTTGGCACATTGGTTTGCCCAGGCGCTTTTTTGGGGGGGGGGGTGTTACAGCTGCAAGTAAGGCATCGAAATTGTGATTCGTTGGGTTGTATCCAAAGAAGTTGCCTCATTTGTACTTCTTCTCTCTCCTTCACTCCCCCTCACATTTGTTCTGTGGTTTTCTTCAACCACCACAAGTAGATTTGAAAGGGGAGGTATGGGGACATGTGGGGAGAAACCCCTGTACTAGGAGGATGGCTTTATTATATAAAACCCAGTATTTTGGTGTCTTTGGAAGCTGTGTTGAATTTGCTATACTTGTACAGTTGTTTTACTGTACTGTAACCCACCCTAGCATGCATGATGAAGGGTGGCTAAAAGTTTTCTTATAAAAATAAATAAAATGAGATAGATTGAGCCAGATGGGAGAAGAATATTGAAAGAGTGATACCTATCAAGAACTCCCAGCAAGCAAGCAAGCAAGCAAGCAAGCAAGCAAACAAACAGTGCAGAAGTCTTAAATTTCTGACTAATCTATTTGCCACTAATTTCCATTAGAAAGGAACACCTCATTTGAAAAGTGCATTTCTGTACATTCACGGTAGCTTGATTTGGCTGTTGTGGTGAAGTCTTTTTGAAAGTAAGTTTAAACATCAACAGAATACTTTGAAATTTAAACAACACTGAACCACCAGGAGTAGAAAAGCGTGTTTGTTTGTTTGTTTGTTTAAAAAAACCCCACAAAGTTATTTTAAACAGGAGATTAAAAATTCTATTAATTATTCTAGATGCCTAAAGCTCAGGTTGGCATAAAGATAAAACTTATAATCTTTAAATAATGCACCTCAAGTGAAACCATCTGCTATAAAAACCACCCATTTTGTTTCATGTCAGATTGTTAACATCTGTTTCCAAGTTACAACAAGAAGAACCTTCAGCTGTTTTCCAACTTGAGCCTCATGAACAATATGATAAGCAGTTTATGCAAAAGCTGCTCAGGTTTGTCCATTTGATAAGTACAACTGCAATCTGGATACAATTCAGCATTTTAAAGTCCCACTACCAAAAGACCTAGAAAACCTCAGCAGGGGCCTCTGGGGCAGTACTGGACAAGATGATCCGACTTGGTTTAGGTCAGTTTCATATGTCTAAAGTTAAGTGCAGAGGTTGTCGGAGGCCCAGGGCAGCAGTCTTAATTAGAGTAATGTTATAAACAAAACAAAAAAGGCAGCCAGTCCCTGGTGGGTCCCCTTGCCAGCTTAGCCCTCTGAGTTCTGGGGCAAATGTACCTGGCTGCCTCCACCCACCTACCCCCTGCACAGATCTGTTGCCCTTTCTGAATGCCACTGGTTCTTCCAAGGTTTCTCTCTTATTATTATTATTCAACTGAAGATGTAAGATAATTCAGCTTGGGGACCTTCTGCATGCAATGCATCTACTGCCAAGCTGCAGCACCCCAACCTATAGGTAGCTTGAGCTCATTACTTCCCAAAGCTTGTGTATGTCTCTGAAGTCTTTGAATCAAGCCCTCAATTTAGCCAAGTTCTATTCTTTCCAATGAGATCTGCAGAACTAAGGTCTCTGTATACACATTTCATTTTAACCTGTGATTGCCGGACTGTTACGGAGAACTGGATCTCTCATGCATATTGTCTAACAGAAAAAGTTTCACATTTTCCATTAGGTGTTCTTTTGTGGGGGAGAGTAACAATATACACACTAGTTTCACAGACTTCATGCTTTCTCCCCCCCCTCCCCCGGAAGAGTAAAATAAGCTACACATAATTATAAATAGTTCAGATGAGGTCCCCACTACTCTGTAATAAGCACTAATACCCTTTCACAAATTTTAGACACGTCTTCTTTATATAAGAGTATAAGCAGGCAAAATGACCTGCACACAAAGGTGTTCTTCCTCAGGAGAGAACCCCTTCTGTTGGAGGAAAGGAAATTTGGATATAACCCAACATATTTACCATATTTTTCCATGTATAAAACACCCCCATGTATAAGACACTCCCTATTTTTGGGGACTCTAAATTAGGAAAATACCCCTCAGCACTACCCGTGGATAAGATGAGCCCCAATTTTAAACCTAATTTTTTGGTAAAAAAACCCTAGTCTTATACACAGAAAAATACAGTAAATAATGACTTTGCCACTAATTAGGCACATTTCCCACTAATTAAATTCATGATTTTACACACAGATTAAAGAAGCCTAATCTAAATTTACAGTTTCCATGAATTAAGGTATTTCAGACTATGAAGGAAGCATGCAAATTTTAAAAACATGGACTAAATATGGAAACACTAAAATAAAATTAAATACTTCTAACATGTGCCTTTTGGATGTAGACTAAAACTGTTTGGTTACCTTTTGCATTCAGCAAAATAAAGCTAGAATTAAACATGTTTCAAGATAGCATTACTACTTAGTAGCAAAAACGTTTGGCCTGCTCTGCAGAGTCGGCCTTAAGCACATTTAAAAGCTGCTCCTTCAAACTTTCAAGATCTCCAATTTGCTGCATTTTATTAAAACTGTGGGCATGTAGTTACAGCAACTATGCAGCTCTCCGGGTGCTGACAAAGAGCTCTTATGAAAGGGATTGTTTAATACAAACAGGCCCACACAGCTTAATTGTATGGAACTATTTCAGAGGATGGCAGCCCTTTAGCAATTACTTTTGCAAAGAATCTGTCTCGGCGAAGCTCGACATGTTTCAGAACAGACAGATGTTCTGTTCAAAGTCAAAGGCTTCAGGCAAAACAGTCTCCGGAGCAGCATTTCAGTAAAGCTGCACTTCTGTGAATTTGCGTACACTCTTTAAAATATAAAAGTTTGAAAACTTGACCAAGTCATCCTAGGAACTAATGATGAAATGCACCATTATTTTAAAAGACCACTAGCATATATAGCACTAGCACGCAGCATATATAATAGGGGTCTTTTAAAATCAAAACAAAACAAAACTGAACATATACATAAAAATACAATTCCCATCAACTCCCCCCCCCCCACCTGAGAATACTACTTTAAAAAATACAGTCGGTACAACACCTAACTGTCAAAAGGGCCCATTTACTACTATTTCTCTAAAACCACATCAAACAGAAATCACAAAGTTAAAAATACTGTAATTCCACAACTTTTCTTCTGAATTATTAGCATTTTCAAACACAAAATCAAGACTGCTCTGGCTAGAGGCTATTCACTTTCCTGGAACATACATAGCTCGAAGCACACAATTACAGCAAACATTTGAAAAATAAATAGTCCAATGACTGGGAAACCGTACCAAGTACTCACCATTAGCTAGGTTTTATTCTTTCCTTTCCTATGTTAAGGTTTTCTGACATTGCTTTTGAAAACTGTAAGCTATAGCACTCCATAAAATGGCCACATTGCTCAGCTAATAAAACCAGTGTTAAAAAGACAGAGCATAAAGATTTAAAAGGAGGAACAACCACCAGAAAAATCATCAAAGGAACCGTTTCGTCAGTGAAGCTTAAAATATCCATCCTGGCATCTTCAATCATGGAGCAACCCTGGAAGTCGGTTGCTGATTCTCTGAAGTAGTTGCAGCAGAAATACTGCCACATTCTTGCCTTCTGCATGGTTTCTCGGCTGCAGCAGATCAGAACAGGCTAGCAAACAACAGCTTCCCAAATGAAAGCTCTAAATTCTTCTTCTACAGTGAAATGAACCAAGTTTCGGTGCTCAAGAGTGAGTGACAGTGTTGCCAGCCAATCAGCTTGGGTTTTTCAGGAAAATCACCCCTTAATTCATTCAAAATTAGGTCATCTGACACTATTTGAAATGCTATTGGCTTAGAATGAGCATAGTGTTTTAGCCTAATCAGGAAAAGGCCACCCATCTATGTCTTTTTGGATTTAAGGCATCCTTGACTATATTACCTGCTGTATATATATATTTTTTAAAGAATGAATGCAGACTTACCAGAGCTTCCCAACTATTAAAGGGACGGAGCTCTACTATCTTCTGAGCCTTTTTCTGAGAGCACTGGGGGATCAAAGTGAGTTCACCCAGTGAAGCATCTTGCAGGAAACTAAGAATTTTAGTTTTGTAACCATCCTCCATCACATCATCACTACCACCGTAGTCCTCATCAAGGGAGCTGCCAGCTTCCGAAGCAGACTCGTACTCCAAATCTTGAGAGTCCCTTTTAGTACTCCAGATTTTTTTCTTTTTATCTTTCTTTCTGAAGCCGTTCTCAGTTCGTGTGGAGGATTTCTCTTTGAGCTTCACATTAGTGTCATTCTGGCGATAATGGCTGTTATTAACGGAGACCCCCTTTCCATTTGAAACTTCACTTTTGGAGGGGTATTGGGTATCTGTATATGCATTAAAAAAAAACAACACAGAGAGAACTTACAAGACGACAGTAATGATGGGGGGGGGGGGAAGAGCTGCACAGAACCAATGCCTACTTTATGGAATAAGCTTCCATTTCCTTACTCAAAAACATTTTATCCAATATTTGGCACTATTCCCATGACTGCATTGTGCTGCTCTGATATCTGACAATCATAACAGAACATTGCACAATCCTATTTAAAAGCTTAAATATTATTGTTAGTATCACATACAGGTGGAGTAACAGACATTTTCTTCTCAAGCTCTAAATAAATATTAACTGGTTAAATCAGGACATTAAACAGCCATTGCTTTTCACTAATGTCTTGCAGAACAGGACACCTGTTAATAGTTTTAAGCAAGAAGTGTTATTTTGTACCCAAATCTGTTTTAATGTAATGACGACACATTCAGCAACAGTAAAACATGCCTGTATTGCTTATTTAAAACACTTTTTGCAATTCTGTACTTTTAAAGACATCTTAGTCATGAAACATTTTCAGTATCTCAAATTCAGTTCTTTTGGAAATAAGGTAACTTAAGCTGAAATCCTAGCCCCACTGAATTAAATAGGACTTACTTCTGAGAAGACATAGTTTGAGCTGTCATGTAACTAACTATCTTGCTACTTTCTAATATTTCATAGTTGTAAGAAATATTGCTTAAAGGAGAGTTAAATAATTCAATTATATTAGAAGAATTCACTGTAAAACAGTAAATAGTTGCATAATAAAAGGGATTTGTATTTTAGCCTTGTTAGGAAAGTCAGCTTAGCTATTTCACCCATTATTACAGTATAAGTGTACATTAAAGACTTTTATTAGAAATAAATGGAATGCAAGTAGCAGTACATTGTTATATTTAACAACAGAAGTTGAAAAGGGTATTTTTCAGACAGCTCACCTCCTCTTATGCTGTCCCTAGAGAGGCTTATCTTTTTGTTCTTCTAGACTTTTTAATTACAAAGGCTACTTTTATCTGGTTCTTTTAGACTCTTGAACCAAATTATCTTTTTGACAGTTTTAAATAGTTTTAGCTGCTATGTCTAAGCTGGTTCTCTAGGTTTCCCTGCTCTAATTTGTATTAATTATAATTGTTTTTACTATTTAAACTGTGGGCTGCTTTTTTATTTCTAATAGGTCTATAAACCACCCTAGGGAACTATGTTATATGGATGGCTTATAAATATAACAAGCACATATATTCCTAAATAAAAGTTGGTAATGTGTATTTGTGGAACACTCACTATGGAGTCACAGCAATTAATTCAGTTCACACAAAACTTAAAATAAAAGTTAAAGGAGTCTTTTTGCAGATGCCAGAATAGATAATGTAGTGCGTTCTAATGTAGCAAGGTCAGGACAAAAACGGTGAGCTATAAGAAGCTTTTTGACTTGTACTTCTCAAAGAGCAGCTCCTCACACATATGGCAAACTGCTTTTAAAAATGACAGAACTTTGTGACATTGTGTGTTTGTGGGGATGATGGAGAGTAAGGTGTGTAAGTATGCTGCTGAGATGAAAAATTCTACTAGGCTGCTACAAGTTCCTGTGTTCACACAAGCAAGTATTTGGATCCTGGCCTCAGCTTTTAAATGTGCTCATCATTTTATAAGGTACCTAAAATATTATGCCTCTATTTAATGAAGTGTTAGTAATGCAATTTTTAAAAAGAGAAGCAAGCAGAACGCCAGCAGTAACATGTGAGAACTTGAGGGGGCATTGTACATCACTGTTCATTACAGGACATTCCTAAGTCCCCTGCTGCTGGAATAAGCCAGCAATTTCAAATTGTTCAAGTGCTTAGGAGAAGAGATGCCCCACGCCCATAGTACAAAAAATATCTGGTACTACCCATTTCTGGTTGTTATAGAACACTTCCCATGGCTACTGCAGAAATGCAGCAGCTGAAGCAGCTGCAGCAGCTGCGGTAACAATTAGGGTCCAGCATACTGACATTTTACATAGTTCAACCAGCCAGTGACAAGCAGAAAGGCAGGAGATATTTTAAAATAAACGAATTTGTTCCAGTATTTCTCTTGTTATTTGCAATTATCTTCCAGACACTTATAATCAAGATGCTCAAGCCTAGTCTCTTTCCCAAACACTTTCTCGGTACATAAATTTACTATTTTAAGCGCATTACTATAAACCAAAACATTTTATTTATATAAAACGTGATCCGATTTACAAAGGTGCTGAGCCATGAGAAAATCACTGTGGTTCCCAAAACTGTCCTAGGGGAACTTCGGGAACTACCTCTAACACAGAGCAGGGAGGAGAGACACGCATGAAAGCACTTGGACATGTATATAAGGTCCTTCTGGATATTGGCCTAGACTTGGAATGCAAACACATTTACCGTATTTTTTGCTCTATAAGACTCACTTTTTCCCTCCTAAAAAGTAAGGGGAAATGTGTGCGTGTCTTATGGAGCGAATGCAGGCTGCGCAGCTATCCCAGAAGCCAGAACAGCAAGAGGGATTGCTGCTTTCGCTGTGCAGTGATCCCTCTTGCTGTTCTGGCTTCTGAGATTCAGAATATATTTTTTTCTTGTTTTCCGCCTCCAAAAACTAGGTGCGTTTTATGGTCTGGTGCGTCTTATAGAGCGAAAAATACGGTATTTGGAAGCATCACTTGGGCTTGGATCCCAAGGTCCTCTAGCTCAAGCAGAAGGTACCCTTGCCCACACAAGCCTTCCTGCACATCTTCCCATGCCAAAAACACATAACACCGGTCCTGAAAGACCTACATTGGCTCCCAGTATGTTTCTGAGCACAATTCAAAGTGTTGGCGCTGACCTGAAATGCCCTAAACGGCCTCAGCCCAGTATACCTGAAGGAGTGTCTCCACCCCCATCGTTCAGCCCGGACACTGAAGTCCAGCTCCAAGGGCCTTCTGGCTGTTTCCTCACAGCAAGAAGTGATCTTACAGGCCTTCTCAATAGTGGCACCTGCCCTGTGGAATGCCCTCCCATCAGATGTCAAGGAAATAAACAACTATCTGACTTGAAGACACCTGAAGGCAGTCCTGTTTAGGGAAGTTTTTAATGTTTGGAGTTTTATTGTATTTTAAATATTTTGTTGGAAGTCGCCCAGAGTGGCTGGGGAAACCCAACCAGATGGGCAGGGTATAAATCAATTATTATTATTATTACAACAGGAGTCTGAAGGGGAGGGAAGGAAAACCCCATTGTGTAAATGGAGCAGAAGTCAATAAGCAGAGGTCATTATGAAATCACTATACTATTTTTGAAGATGCCTCCAAAACTAAAATAATCAGCTTTGAACACAAAATCAGACAACAAAAAAAGCTCTCATTCAACTGATAACTGCAAAGTATATTCTAGAACAAACAACAAATTGCAGTCATTTTTATTGTTGTTGCTTTTCTAGCAATTTGATCTGCTGATGGTGTTGTTTTTTTTAAAAAAATCAAGCAGAGAATATGTTGGTAGAACCAAAAGGCTGGGAAGAAGCTAGTGGCAGCAGCAGTATATGGCAGCTCTCTAGCAGGGATATGAAAGTCTACTTAAATGGCATCAGCGATCACCAACAAGACTGACTTGAAAGCTCAGGAAACAGTACATTTGAATGTCAGAAGTAGTGCTTAGTAACAATCAAGAAAGGGAGGATGTGAAATATGTTGCATCCTTCTTGGCAGTGTGGTATGGCAGTGTCTATTAAGTATTCTACAAAGAATTAGAGAGGTTCCTTCCATCAGTTTACAATCTAAAATATTTTAATTGTAATAACAGCGGTACAATGACATTAATGCAGGATGAAGATGGCTAGTTGAAATATGCAGAATGCTTACACTGCAGCTCCACTCTTAGGGACAAAGGTTGCTGCCTGATAGTAAGTCAGACCACTGGTCCATCTAGCTCAGTACAGTCTACACTGACTGGCAGCAACCCTCCAGAATTTCAGACAGGAATCTGTTTTATTCCCTACCTGAAGATGCCAGGAATTGAACCTGGGACCTTCTATATGAAAAGCATGTGTGCTGCCATTGAGCTGTGACCCTTCCCAATCTTAGATCCCTAGTTGGGAAGGAAAACATGAAGAAAAGGAAAGAAACAGAAAGAATGGCAGAGAAGAGAGCAATGCTGCTAAGTTGCTTCTGCTCATATCATTTTGGGCTCTTCGTTGCATAGCAGAACCTCCATCACTAAAGCCTCTCCTGAAGTCATTTGTGGGAAGTCAGAGAACATTTCAGAGTGTTGCTTGACATAGTGAGAGACTGCAAGCAGGAACAGCAATTTCTGAAGTCTGTCTAGGATAGGCATCCCCAAACTCGGCCCTCCAGATGTTTTGGGACTACAACTCCCATCAGCCCTAGCTAACAGGACCAGTGGTCAGGGATGATGGGAATTGTAGTCCCAAAACACCTGGCGGGCCGAGTGTGGGGATGCCTGGTCTAGGAAGACCTTAGGCATACATCCACAAGGCTCTCACCAAATGGTAAGAGATTGCAGGATTGAAAATACATTGCAATAGTTCTGCCCACAATTGTCACTCAAGCCTTACATCACTTAGAATTCCTCAACTTTTACTCCATCACAGAATCATTGATAATAAAAGATATATTCTTATATCAGCATCTGACTTGGTCATTTTTCCCATTTAAAAATATTTCACATATTACTTACAACAGGACACGTAACTCCTTGGGATGATAAAGCCTATATGGGTGTATGTATATATATATGTGTGTGTGTGTGTGTGTATGAAAACGAAATACTCTTTACCCTCATGATCTTCCATGAATACTTTTAAAGATTCAAAAGCTTCCTGAAATATCCAGTTGTGTTCCCGAAGTACATCTCTCAGCTCCTATTTAAGAAACAGTAAGCAGAAATCCTATATAGTCACAGAATTAACAGCCTATGAATATCAATGTATTATCATAACTAGACAAACATCTATGCAGATAAAAACAAAGAAGACAATCAAGGAACCTTCTCATTTACAGCAACTATGAGAACATACAATATACACTGTGGCTACTACTGCCCAGTACAAAATTGCTCTTTACCTTTACATTTTATCCAACAATTAAAGCTGAAAGTACTCCAGATCACTAGCTGCAAATTCAAGAATGTCTCACATTATTTCTTTACAACACTATCTTCTACTGTAATATTAACTGTCTATTCTAGCTCATAATGTGGACTGACTGCTGAATCTATTCCTAGATTGCTCAATTATTACACATACTATTATATATATTATATACACTAACAATAAATCCATTCTCCAAGTGTCTACCCTTATGTAGCAAATATGACACTATTCATGTAGAAGAAGAAAGTTTCAGCAGGCTTGGGATAATCCCAATGTTGGCAGAGGTACGAAAGACTTTAGAAAAGCTTAAAGCAGTGATGGCCAAACTTGGCCCTCCAGCTGTTTTGGGACTACAACTCCCATCATCCCTAGCTAACAGGACCAGTGGTCAGGGATGATGGGAATTGTAGTCCCAAAACAGCTGGAGGGCCAAGTTTGGCCATCACTAGCTTAAAGGGAGGGTTGATGAGCACTGAGTATCTGAAGGGAGGGAGGATAATGGAAAACTGGGGATGGGGGAAAATGGAATGGAGTATCCTAAAAAAAAGTACTCGTGATCAAGTCACTTCATCTCTTTTACACAATTCCAAATCCCTATGCAAAGGGAAGAGAGCTAATAACAGTAACTAGAATGTGGACTAATTTTTGTAAGAGGGTTATATACAACACATTTTTGGCTGAATGTAACATACCTCTTTATCCAAGCTGGGAAATTCTTTGTGCAGTTTGCATACTAGATTTTCACGCTTTTCCCACTGATTCTCAGGACTCTGCAACTACAGTTCAGAAAAGATTCATTTATTTTAGACTTATCCTACGCCACTAACTAGACAACACACTTGCCCACTGAATGAAAAAGGTAACTTGAAGGAACCACAATTGTGTGTGGTCCATGGGTGAGAAACCTCAGGCCTGGGGGCCAAAGGCAGCCCCCTGCAAGCCTTCCTAACTGTCCTTCACAACTCTGCCCCAACCTCCCCCCCCCCCCCCCGACTAGTCCTGCTTCACACCTTCCTTCAAGTGTTTGTGTGGTTGGAAATGTCCTTCAAATCTGATAATGCCTTTTACTTGCCTGGGTAGCGAATAGAGAAGAGTGTGTGAGTGTTTCTCAGACATTGCCTACTGTACAAATGTTAAAAATTTACACTTGCTGCACTGCTCACTTTTCCTCAATTACCAGAATGTGGCCCCTGGCAGGCTGCCCATAAAGTAACATGGTCCTCAGACTGAAAAAAGGTTCCCTATCCCTGGTGTAGCAGATACAGCTAAACCTCCAGATTCATCAGCGGCACTTATTGTAGCCAGATATGGATTAATGTCTTCACCAAGATTATTTTCAGCACACTTAAGGTTTGAAAACTTCATCTGTGTATTTAGAAAGAAAGCGGTCAGAGGCCACACAAAATGGCTTAGAGGAATTGGAGCTGCCCAAACATCTGTGATTTCCCCCCTGTGAACTAACTCGGACATGTGGCTACCAAGTCATGCATTAAATACAGAAAATTCAGTGTATGAAAGAGATATGATTAGGAAAACGTTTAATTTCCAATGCTCTAGCACTCATCTCATAAATAATTAGCTCAGGAACTGAACACACATGGAAAATCTTGACAAGGTGTTTACTCAACGAGTGCTAATTTGGGGTTCTGTATGTAAAGGAAGTTACAACCAGCTACTTACAGGATCAAGCTTTTTCTTTTTCGTATTTTGGTCATCCTCATCTTCAGTACCATCGTTGGCACTTTCCTCAAGTTTCCTTTTGCGAGAGCTGCCTTTTGAAATTAAAAAGGGGATTTTTAAAAAATTGGCAACTTCTTGCAGTCCAGTATCAAAGCACTTTGTTGCTTAGCAATTAATCTAAATGCCCTTTAATCAAAACCAAAAACTGTTTTTTACTTCAAATTAACCAAACAGTAAAAAATGTAGAAATTTTATTGTATACTAACATTTTTGTTATGAGTTGGCAGTTCATAAGAAATAAAATAAATAAAATTTTGCCAGTTTTTTCTCTCCCACCCATCCACCAAACACACACAAACAAACCCACTGAAACAAAAAAATAGCAGATGTTCAGAAATTCCTCCTTCTTTTAAAACTTGCTCAGAATCAAAGGAACCATGCCCTTATATTCAGGCATGTTTCTTCATGTCTATTATTTTATACACAGGACGACTAGCCGAAATGTTTTTCACAAAAGTTTGCTGTTAAAAAAGATATACATTTGAGAGGCTATAAAAAGATGTAAAATTTCAGTTTTAAAAAAAAATGAAAATTGGATGGAAGGGGAAGCCAAGGAGCAAAAACAAACAAGGAAAGAAATGCCATTTTGAGACATGCAAGAGATGTACAGTTGAAATAACTTGTAGCCAAAATCCAAGACCATACTATGTAGTTAATTCTTACTTCTGAGTTAATATGTGCAAGAGTGTGTTGCAAGTCCCCTTAACTTCAGTAGAACTGACTTCCACAGATGATACCAACTTATCTGTATGCTATCACAAGTGAGATCACCACTGCATTTGCCAATACCTAGCCTTCAAACTGATCCTGATAATATGAAGCAAATGGAGTACACAAAATGGAACTTAACCAATATTCATGTGAACATATGCAAAATTAGGCATAGAAATGCTTTGTAGATGGAATTATATCTGAATTTATGAATCAGCAATGAAGGGCCTTAGACAGTTAGGTCCCCAAAGATGGGTATGGGCAAAGATGGTATGGGCACCAGTGCTTTGCAACTTGATCATAAATAATCTAGGGTTAAGGGTAACTAGTTGGGCGTCCGTATTTGCAGATGACATCAAATTATTTAGAGTGGTTAAAACAAAAAGGAATTGCATAGCATTTTCTGTGCCAACCAGTGCTAAAGTGCTAGGTAAAAAACTGCTTGGAAACTATTAACAGAAAGTACCAGTACTTCTTACCTTCCTCATTCAACTTCAAGCCTTCAGCTATAGCTTCATCCATTGTAGCAGTTGATGATATCAGCTAGAGAGAGAGAGAGAAAGGACAAAAAAGTCAACAAACATTTCTTTATTAAAATTAGAGGAATTTCAATTATATTCTGAAGAATTTACAGTAAAATCCTATGCATGGTTTTTGAAAGTTCTTCTGTATTCAAATTGTCCACCCCAAAAAATATGAATTCTGCAATCCATACAATTTATGCAAATTGGGAAAACTTGCTACTGATAAAGGGAGAGGAGTTATGCAATACACTGTAGTCCACTGGAAATCCATTTGCCTTCTGAGCTGTTAGGAGACATTGCCCACATTATTTCAACTGCATCATGACAGTCACAGTGGGTCAAAAACTTGTTTAAGAGGGAAAGCAGAGATTCTCAGGAAGCTGCTACATTCTGCATGCCCACTCTACAATTCTTTCACTGGCACTATTTAATGATTATATGCTGCTATGAGTTTCAAAGAGCTTTCCATGGACCACCTCAGCAAGCCTTTAAGCTTCTACTTAAATAACATTTACTTAAGCTATTATTTTATGGATTGCATTTCTAATCATTTTTATGTGCCCTTGGGGGGGGGGGGGAATCACACTTTATAGGACAAAATGGCAAGAGTATACATTCTAATACGAATGAACTCATGAAAGGTAGATAGTATAAGAGACTAAGTTCTCAGGCCACTATATATAGAAGAGTTGCCTATCCAAGATCACCTACTCTGTTCACAGAAAATGCAAGATTTGAAAACAGAATTCCCTGAGTCACAGTGTGTGAGAGAATGAGTGAGAAGGTGAGAGTAAGTAGCTCACTTCCAAGTGTACACTAACACTGCTTTAAGACTAAATATTGTAATTCATTCTTCACAATATTTTATGACTGGTGCTCCTTTCAAATTAGCTAACAATTCAAAAGTATATTACTGTACTTGTAATAACTCTTGGTCACTTTTTTGTGGAAAGAGTTCCTTTAGTGTTTGGAGTTTGCAATAGTTCAGATCCTCCTCCTCTTCCTCCTCTTCTTCATTTTCCTTAACAGATTTTGATGGCTTGCCTTCATCCTCTTCACTATCTGAAGGCTCTGAGCTGTCGTGCATGGTAAAAATATTTACACCATTTTAGTCAAGCACCGTAGTATTGCATTTTCTATAAATATATAAACACAGTAGCACTGGTAGGAATAACAGCAAATTTATTATGTCATAGGATTTCATGGACACATCTGACTGAGTGAACTGTAATCTCTGAATGGGTATACCATCTTAAAACTGGTCTTTAAGGTGCACAACACTCTTCATTGTTTTTTACTGCAAAAAGACTGATAGGGCTACTCCTTTGGAATCTAACTTTTAAAACCAGCTGCCCTGTCAAGAGCCTTGGGAAAGCAAGCGATTAGCTCTAGCCTTATCATAAAAACTTACCCAACACAGGAGCTGTTTATAGGCTACGTTTCTGTCTAGGGAATTTATCTGCATTCCTCTCTGGAGTATTCTGCTGCAGCAGATGCAACATTTTCTCTGTAAGAAGGTGAAACCTAATTTTCTAAGATTATGCCTTTCTGATGTCAAAGTAGCTTTCAAGAAAATTGCCAGTTACCCCATGCAACATTACCCATCCATGAACATTCTGAGTTGCATCTAAGAAATCTCAAAAATATTGTCAAAACTAATTTACCTATATTCTACATTGTTCTGTGCCAATGTTTCTGTATTCCAACCCTACTGGCTTTTAAGGTTACATCTACTCAAGAGAGTGTGTGGATAGCTTATAAGATTTCATAGGTACACAGCGAAGCTCTTAAAAATCACATAAGTTGTACAGCACAGTTGATACAAGAATTCCTAGACAATATGTATATGCACCTGTCACACACACAAAAGTGGTTGTACAGGAATATCCAATGTGGTATTGACCAGATGTTGTTATAGACTATAATTCCCATCATCCTTGACCAAGTTTGGCCACGGCTAATGGAAACTGGGAGATCAACAGCATCACACTGGCTACCCTGCATAGACTGAGCAGACTCTGATCAACAAAAGAGATGCTTCTGTGGGCTGACAATAATTATGTGGACTGGAAGCACCTAATGCTTCCGTAAGTGGCTCCACTTAATGGCCATAAGTGACTGGCTATTTACAAAGATTAGGTTAGTTCCTTTGTTCAACAAAAAAAGATTCTGAACACGCTAGGAAGGCCTAGTTATTGACTGAGAAGTTCGTTTTCTCTATCTCATGAGCACAGCAAATACTTTACAGGAGTCACTCAAGTACACTTGAGCAATAACAGAATTATTAACAAAGAGAAATAAGGCCTTATCGAATACCATCTAGTTTACACACTCAGCTAGGAAGTTGATTCTGAACCGCAACACCTGACCACAGTGAAATGAAGCAGCCCTTTTCAAGAGGTGTTAAACACTTGTTAATTTGCCTTAGTGTTGCCTTGGGAAAAGGAATTAAATGCATTAATTACAAGAGATAAAAAGTAGTTTCAAAACTCCATTCATTTATTTGAAAACTTAACTCATAATACATTATCTTCCAAATCTTTTTATAAAACCGAATGCCTGAGGGCATGTTAAAATGCTCATCTAATTATCAAGTTGTTGTCATTTATAATATCTTTTTCTTGAAGATGCTGTGTAATTAAAGATCATAAAAAGTAAGTACATAATTAAGCAAAGCTCTATGGAAACAATAAAAAATGCTCCATGTATCATATAAAAAAGTATTTTTTGAGAATTTATTTAATGATACCAAGAATTATTTTTCATAGTTAAAAACAACGGATGCATTTAAAATTCAGATTGAAGGAGGAATGCATCTATAATCAGGAGAGATTTTAAAATAAATAATGCTTGTTTCAATAACTGAGATTCACTTCTTTTTAACTCTATGGACTTTATTGAATACAGTGATACCTCGGGTTAAGAACTTAATTTGTTCCGGAAGTCAACCTGAAACTGTTCTTAACCTGAAGCACCACTTTAGCTAATGGGGCCTCCTGCTGCTGCCGTTTCGCCGCCGGAGCACGATTTCTGTTCTCATCCTGAAGCAAAGTTCTTAACCCGAGGTAATATTTCTGGGTTAGCAGAGTCTGTAACCTGAAGTGTATGCAACCTGAAGCGTATGTAACCCGAGGTACCACTGTATATGTTAAATAGTAATGTTGCAGTACCTAAGATCATTATATTACAATCCAACCAACCCTTTTGAGTGGGCAGTTTGTCATTATGCTGGTGTGCGAGGGGGTGATTGTTTTATTTATGTTTTTATTATGTGTTTTGTTTTCTTGTATTTTTATGCTGTGAACTGCCCTGAGATCAATGCTGGCATACCAATTTAATAAGTAAATAATATATGTTCTTGGGCCTACAGTCTTTGGCTAACGAAATGGTAAACTTGGTGAAAATGGAATGAATTTTGGACTTACTATGAACATTCATTTTCTTCAGTGGACAGTTCTAACCTAGGAGTGAGTTACAGGGCAAAAACCTTGATGGATTGATTGATTTACTTATCAATCCATCCTGCCCACTACTGCCTTCCCTCAGGCCTTCAGTTCCAAGGCACCAGAATTCTCAATGTCATAGTAACCTGTAAGGCCACCTTATACGTAGTTGCTCCCAAGAGAGGCATGGAGATGTGAGTAGTCATAACACCTGCTACCCCATCTCGTTTAAACAGCTACCTCAGTGCCCTGCCAGCTCCTCTGGCTAGAAGTGTGAAGAAGGGCAAAAGACCCTCCTCCTCCATCCTCAATCAAGTTCATCTGTCCAACAGCTTCCTTGCCCCCAGGTCATGGCTTGAAGATCAGCAAAGCAATTTAGAAAGAGAGGAGCTGGTGGGGTGGGGAGGGATTAATCATTTTACAAGTTATGTAACCTTGTTACTTAATTCTTTTAAACTGTATTGTGGTATTTTTAAGTACTGTAATTTTTATTGATCATAATTTAGTAAGGATTTATTGTTATTGTTGAGAGTGAATTTCTGTTTAATTATTTGCTGGTATTTTGAGAGTCAATTTTATTGTGCACTATTAGATTCTAATGGAATACTGAATATTGCTTTATTATAGAATAGAATAGAATAGAATAGAATAGAATAGAATAGAATCACAGAGTCGGAAGGGACCACAAGAAGAAGAGTTTGGATTTGATATCCCGCTTTCCTAAGGAGTCTCAAAGAGGCTAACAATCTCCTTTCCCTTCCTCCCCCACAACAAACACTCTGTGAGGTGAGTGGGGCTGAGAGACTTCAAAGAAGTGTGACTAGCCCAAGGTCACCCAGCAGCTCCATGTGGAGGAGCGGGACGCGAACTCGGTTCACCAGATTACGAGTCCACTGTTCTTAACCACTACACCACACTGGCTCTCCAGTGTCATCTGGCTCTCAAGGATCATCTAGTACAACCCTGTGCAACACAGGACTCTTTGGCCCAATGTGGGGCTCAAACCCATGACCATGGGATTAATAGTTTCATGCTGTTTGATAAAGCTGTTTATTTTAAGCCATATTTCTTATTATGACATATGCGTTGGATCAGACAGTCGTAAAATAGATTTTGTATATTTTGTTGCTTCTTTGGCTTGTAAACTGCCTTGTGTATAGCAATATAGAAAGGCGGTATACAAATTAAACATGCAATGAAATGAAACCTATTTAGGAGCTCTCATGGAGTTAATGATAACAAGCTTTATTGTTTTTTATACCGAACCGCCCCCCCCCCCGCAAATATTTGCTTGTAAGAAAGTAGTAATCAGAAATATGGCCTTAATATCAATTTATGAGTATCAATAAGGGAATTTATATGTATAAATAAACAGGCATTACTAAGACTTACATAATAATCACATCCTTCCTGGGAGCAGCAAATTGCTTTATACGGGAGTATTTTGGTGCCACTTCTTCTTCACTTTCTGATGACAATTCAATAACATCTTTCTGACACTTAAAAAAAGATGATTGTGTTGTCCTTTTTGCTTCAGGGGTTTCTGGAACACTGGAATCATCTGTCAAAGCATTTTAAAGGATAAAAAAGACACATGTTACAGAAAAACAAGAGTACAAGTCTTACTATGACTGAGGTATCATCAGAAGTGGCCACGCTGATTACACCAAATTAATTAGAAATGTGCTTTGGGGGCACGTTTAGTTTAAGAATTATGTAATTTAAGTTAATGAGTTTTTCTACTGCCTTGAAAACGTGTGTGTTAAAGGTGGTATAGTTGGGTGGTTAATTGAAGATCTGTTTCAAATTGTGGCATCCTTAAAACTCAGCATGTCTCCAAACTCAATGGCTGCTGAGAAAAGTGTGAACACACATGGGCTAAAATCACAGCCTTATGTAGGCTCAGAACTACAGTGTGGCCTGCACAGGTCTTCTGGCATCAAATGGAAAGAAGGGGCTTCTGTGTTCTGCTATGCTCTTGCTTGAAACAGCTAACAGCCCTAAAAGCAGGTAGGGGCAAAAGTGAAAAGATTATGGTTCCATCCATGGCTCCGTTTCAGGGCTAAAGCATTCTGACCCTGGAGGCATGAAGGCAAAATGAGAAAGACAGCAGCACACACCAGGAGAACAGCAGCTGCAAAATAGGATTGCTGCCTGACAGAAGTTTACTGGAAATAAATTTTAAATAATCTGAAAGTGCTTGAGAGGTGTTTGATGGAAACTTCAATAAATCTTGAGCTTTTATAACCCCGAGCAAGTGACTGACACTGGAAAAGTAAACTTTGAAACTGGGGGCTGTGGCATGCCCCCCACCGCCGTAGTAAAATTGTACTGCCATATGGTAACAGGATCTTAGAACTAGATATATTTATTGGAGTAGGGGGGTGACCCCCCCCCCGAAAAAATATCAAGAAATAACTTGCAACGTAGCAGTAGATTTTGAATTAGAAAAATGCAGCTCACACACCTGCTCTGTTTAAAAGTAAAACCAGGATACTACAGTAATCAGATGACACCACCACATGCTCCCCCCACACCAAGATTTAATGCTTCATATGACCATCACCAAGCCTAATTAGAGACATATTAAACTCATCAGGGTCAAGCAACAGTCAGATATCGTACTGATTCAGGATAGAGAATAGGGAATAGAGCTGCAAAAGACAGCACAAGGGGTGAAGCAAACATTCTTGCAGTTTGTTCTTAATCCCAAAGCCATAGCTATTTTTGCATGTCCATACATGGTTATTTGCTTCATCTGTCCACAGTACAGAGACAAACCTTCCATTGCTCTTATCACCATAGCACAACTGACATTCTGATTTCTACTTAGCTTGTTTGCTTTAAATTCAGGGATATTATGGCACTTGGACCATTACTTCCATGGCATTTTATTTATAGTCTATCTAGCCTAAAATAATTGGTTGAGAGTACTGCGTACTCTGTCTGGCAGCAGCTTTCCAAGGACTGAGACAGAAGTATTTCCAGCCCCAAGACCCACAATCTGAGGTGAAGTTGTGGCAACTGGAGCTCAAGACCTTCTACATTCAGAAGAGTTTGCTTTGTCACTGAGCTATACTGCTGTAGCATTGAGATACAGTCCACAGACTAAATTTAGTGTGAACATTCCAAATTAAGCTGCCCTGTTAGACAGTCAATGATCATTTTGCACTGAGGTTCCATATCCAGCCCCCACGTTTGTCAGCGGAGCACGCATAAGAGCGCCCTGCCCCGTTATGCCATGCCACACCCTTTTAGCGATGTGTTTAGTGACATTTTTTTAGTCACTTCCAGGTTCAGTTGCATTTTATTCAGACACGCATGAATCGGTCGTTACATGTGCTGTCCATAACAAATTATTTTTAAGAAGTGGGATATGAATGTGTGAATAAAAATTAAAATCTTCAAGTTAGTTTAAGTTTCTGGCTTTTTCCTGAAGTTAGCAACCATAATTTCCTGGTTCAAACAAAACCAATAAATTATAGTTAGTTACAAGACTCCACATTTCATTAATGAATGCCATGAGAGAAGGGGATGTGTTCATGGGCAAAATGCTTGTTATTAAGCAGAGACTATTAAGCAGAGACAGAATCACCCACACAAAGTCACTGGAAAGCTTTGGTTTGTCACTGCATAATGTGTGTCATAGCTCTCAGATGCATCTGAAGCCTTATTACTACAACAGCTCATTCCAAGGAATAAGCTGGATGATACCTCACTAACAAATGAGGAGCAGACACCGTTGTTTCCACTGAACAAAAAAAACCCACCCTGACTCAGCATAAGCAATGAAATGTATATGACTATACAATTATTACCTATGGACACTTGAAGTAATTCCCATAACAAACTCATTCTACATTTGGTGGGGAAATGTTCCCACTCATCCATAAAAAATAATCATTTTATTTCTTTATAAATAAAGCACCCCCTCCCCCAAAGAGTTTACAAGCTAGATTTTTGCAATTTTGGGGGGGAAGGGAGAGAGATAATAGCCAAGGGTTACAAGGGATAGATGTGGTGAACTAATTCAGTTAATAAAACCATTTAATATATTGCTCCTCATTGGCTTTTATTCTCTTCCCCCATTTTATTTGTTGCTCCCCTCGTATTTTTTTACCGTATACTAGCAGACCAGTTTCTGCTAAGAGAGATTAGGCACTGGGCCATACCATCCCTATTTGTGCAGTTTCTATGGAGATAGATTTAAATCCATTTCTAAGTTTCCTTTTTCAAAAAGATCTACTGCATTTAAAAAAGCACCTTAAGTGCATACTTTACCTATAAACGTGAAAATTGTCTGTTATATGCAACAGCTTATTATCCCATGTTAATATTAACCTCTAGCTAAAGTTTTCTCTCATATTTTGGGGAGGGGTAGAAAAGCTTTTCATCTTGATTAGATTTCTTTCCTTAGCACAGGACTAAGCAAGTATCTATACAACCATACATTGCTCTTAATGTGGAACCCTCTGCTCAGGGAATGGGAGATGGGAGAGACGACATTATCACTGACCAATAAAAATGGCTTTCAACAGCCATTGTACAGTAGTAATAGCAACAGTGAATGCTTATGTTCGTATGTAGAAAATATCAAAGGACTGTCTGCTTTGTTTTCCTACCAAAACAACTTCAATGGATCAGGATGTTGGCAAAGCAGTTTGAATGTTAAGTTATGAGGGTCAAGCCCTATGGGATTTTCTTGCAAGCTCTTAATTAACCCAGATTTCCTAAATGCTTTTGAGAACATGATATTTGATACCAGAGAAATTGAATGTCTAGTCAACCACAGGAATACTCTGCACATAACCAGAGGAATTCAAAGAATGCTCTAGAAATTAGAGTTGTAAAAGATATAACAAGATACAGCCGCCACATTGCTATCAAAACTTCATTCAGCTATATGAGTGAAGATCAAACACTAAGCTATCAGCACGAGTACTGTAGACTAAATCAAAGCTGGTTGTATATAGACTTTCCCTTCATTTATAAATCACATATATGAGAACTCACCAGTTTTCTCAGACACATCAGATGCTGGGGTGGCTGGTTTACTAATGTGATCAGGAACATTGTCATTTTCTTCACCAACAGATGCAGCACCATCTTTTGAAGGAGGAGAATATGTGGTATCCTTCTCTACTGCATCCAAAGAAGTAGAAGAAGCCTCCTCCTGATCTGCAGAAAGGCCAGGGGAAGGGGCACTCTCTTCCTCCACACATGACTTCCTTTCAAAGCGAAAGCGGTCCAGGTTAAGCAGACTCATGATTGGCCTTCCACTTCTGTCACAGATTATGGAGTTCAATTTAAAATCCCTTGGGCTTACGACAGCACCATATAAATCAAGAGTAGCTAGAGATATAAAAAGAAAAGAAAACCCAAAGGGTGAGGTGGGAGATACATGACAGAGCAAGAAAATACAATGGAAGATCCTTATTTGTAGGCATTCATTCATTCATTCAATAAATTTCTATACTGTCTTGGGTCATGAATAACCTCAGGGTAGTTTACACCTATAAAACTTAAGATTTATTGAAACTATAAAACACACAGTAAAAAGTTAGGCCATGTACAAAAGAGGAGAAAGCAGTCTCCAATTATAAATGACCAACACTGATTAACTACTCCCAAATGCCTTAGTGAACAAATGTATCTCCAGCTATTGCCAATGTAGACATCAACCACATTTCTGACCTGGGGGAGTTCCATAACCAGAGTGCCAGCACAGAAAAGGAACAATCACAGTTATCTCTACTCTGGGCTTTGGCAGGTTTCCACAGTTGGAAAAAGAAGTGCTATTCTACTGATACCATCTCAGCATCAAGTGATGCTGCTGGATTTAAGAGTATCCCCAGACTTCAAACCTGCTACTTCAAGGAAAGTGCAATCCTGTCTAGAACAGGTCATCTACTTACTTCCAAGACACATGAAGGCTCTTAAGCAACTCACTAGTGCCTCCAAGTTAACCTGTACAGTCTCCAACAATTCTGATGAAAAAGAAGAACTAGAGCTGGGATTTATCCACATATTGATAATGCTGTGCCCCAGATCCCTGGATGACCTCACCCAGATGATTCATATAGATCAGAGTGGGGAATCTTCAGTTTGTGGGTCAACTAGGCTCACTAGGCTATTTTTCCCAAACCATGCCTATCCACGCATCTGCTAGTGACATAGGCTGCAACGGCTGAGCAGTCTAGGTGGCAGGAATAAATCTCCACTCATTACTTTCCCCCTCTTTCTACACCTGCTTAAAGGAGAAGCAGAGCACTGTTTGAACCGGCCTCCTCTATCCTTCAAGGAAAAGGAAGTTTGATTCAAATGGCACTTTGCCACTGGAGGCATGGCTATTATATTAAAATGCTTATCTTCAAAGTGCTGTTTCAGTGCCTCCCTACTTCTTTAAAGGGAGCTTGGGAGGAAGTCTGAATAGGCTGGATCTTCCTCACCACATCCCATCCCACTCCTATACAGGGGGAAATGATCCAATCAAGGTAAATTCCATCCTTAAATCTCTGCCCCCTTCCCCAGCAGCAGAAAGGATGGGTTAAAGGTGCTTCACTTTAGCTGTGGTGACTGCTGCCTTGTGCAGAAAATTATCAGAATTAGAACTCCTGAGGGAATAAAGGTGGCAGTCGTTGTGTGGTCTGGAGACTCCAAACAGAGGTGAAGGAGCGTAAGTGAGGAGTTCATAGTAGTAAGGCTGACATTATAATCTTAAGGGGGCCTTGCTGTGATCGTAAAAAGCAGTGGGAGACTCCCAAAGCCTTCTGCAAAACTCTCAAAAGCCTTTGGGGGTCTCCCCCTCAAAGAAAGATCAAAGAAAGATTGGGCATAAAAGAAAATGGGAGGGAGATCCAGCTGAAATTGGGGGGAAAGGGATTTTGGCAGACAGGCACCCTGTCCAAAAGGTTTCCCATTGCCGATATAGATGTTAACAAGCCTGAGGACAAGATGGAACCTTGCAATACACCATGGTGCAGGTGCCAGGCAGTAGTCACCCAATGTCACTTTCTAGAAACAGTCCTGCAGGTAGGAGGGGAACCACAATAACACCATACCTCTAAGTTCCAACTCAAAGAGCCACACCAGGAGGATACCACAGTCAATGATACTGAAAGTTGTCAAGAACTAAAGAAGAATCAGCAACTTCACACTTCTCCTGGCTGTGTCATTGATCTGGCATATAAGATGACCTTTTAACCCCAGAAAAGAGGTTAAAAAGTTGGGGGTCGTCTTATACGCTGGGTACTACCTCCGAGGCAGCAGTGGGTGCCGCGCGGCTTCCTCCTGGTGCGGAAACCGCCGCCTGCTTGCTGCTTTGGAGGCTGCCGAAGCTGCTGCCGTCGCCGCAGCGCGCTCCGCAGTGGGCGGCTTCCTGTCGCCCAGCGTATAAGACTGGGCTTATAAAACGAAACCCCAAATTGGCACCCTAATACGCCAGAATCTACGGTAATACTGGGACTGAAACCAGATTCAAATGGGTTCAGGTGATCAGGATACTCCAAGCATGCCTGAAGAGCCACCAGTGATCTACAGCGCTTTAATTTTGCAGCAGCAATCTCATTTTGGGGTGGGCAGGGGAAGCAAGGCAAAATGCACTTGGAGTTGGAAGGCAACGGCCAGAGATTTTACTTTGGAGTTGGGCAGGGAGACACTTCTTCTCCCACACCCTCAGCACCTGCAGTTTTAACCTTGAATCTCAGTCGCATACATGGCCACAAGACTTCTCAAATTGCTCACAGACAATTCCCGGTCACAAAACAGACCTGGTACATGGCTAATTTTGAACACTATCTCCAGTACCTTGCCCATGATCTCTCATGCACCTTGGTGGATCTCTCACACACCTTCAGAAGGGAAGATTTAACATCTTCTTGGACATCCCCCACCCCACCCCCAAGTCAATCTCTCCGTTAAGCTTTCATAAGTCATAATGGGCAAGGATCTAGAGCACACGAAGCTGGCCAAACACCTTCAAGTGCCTTGTCCACAAGAACTTGAAAGGATCCCATAGAACTTGATTAGCTGGCGACCTGGAACCTCCCCCAGAGTTATATTAATTGGCAATATTTCCCTTAAAGTGCCTTACAAATTTATCACAAGCCTCCGAGTGTTTTTGATATTTTCACATTGGAAAAGCTCTGCAGGATGGTTACTTGATGATGCAATGGAAGAGGGAATATATATTTTATTCGTCACAATTGCTGCCATATGGCAGCATTTTTATGTGCTCTCACCTGTGCCTTTTTACTATACAATGTGTGCCACATATGCTTCAGTCACCACCCTGGTCAACTGTGACCAAGGTATGTGAGTGGGTTGGCAGAGAATGGATGGATTTCGCTTTCTCCACCAGCCTGTTTGGCAGAAGGCAATCCACACCTGTTAAGCAATTAATACCCTGCATTTCCATGCAGGCTGCAGAAGACGATTTCCCTATTCTATGACAAGCATGGAAATACAGGATACCATGATCACTTACCTTTCTAAAATATTTGTAGGCTACCTTTTAAGGTCAACCCCCCTCAAGATTATTTCCAACATGTAGATTCACAAGATATAATCAGTAGTAACTTTAAAACCATAAAACACCTGCTGTATACAGCAGATTTTAAAGGTTAATATTCAATTGAAGCAACATTTCTTTCTTTTAGGGTTAATTAACAGGATGCACAACTGAAAAAGGACTATGGAAAATTATTCCAATATATGATTACAGAAGTAAGATTGTTATATGCACAAAGACAGAATGATACAGCCCTACCTATTATAGAGAAATGGTTGGTAAAATTATTGGACATAGCTGAGATAGCAAAGTTAACGTGTTTAATTGGAGAAAAATCATTATTGACATTTATTAAGGATTGGAAATTTCTTATGGCCATTTTGCATGAATGAGAAAATGAACTTGTAATATCTGGATTTGAAGATTGACAAAATATTGGCTTACAGAAAATAGCATAGTTGGATGTTAATGAATGAATACTATATTTAGATGAAGGACAGAGCACTGGAAGTCTTTTAATCTTTTCTTAACACACACACCCCACTCTCTCCTTTCCCCCTACTTTCTTCTCCTTTTTGATTCTGTTTCCTTTTAGACTAGATTTTTAAAGTATTTCTTTTATTCTGGTGTATTATAAAAAGATACTTTCATATATCTTTGGATAAGTATCAATAAAAATAGATACTTAAAAAACCCCACCATAACACACAGTAAAAATAACTTTACTAAACAAAGAGAACTAGCATTATCACTGACTGCGAACAACATTCGCCCCAGTATGAATGAAATCAGATAACTAAAACTAATGCAGTTGGGATATTGTTTATGGGTTTTTGCTGGGGGATTTTGTTGCTGTTATTGATTATTATTATTTTTTGTATCCTTATTTTTAGATCTTATTATCATTTATGATTTATGTGGCAATTGTTCAGTTTGGCTGTCTATATTTGATGTGTTTTATTTATTGTTTATTACTACTTTTGTTAGGTTTGTAATTATGTAAATCCTTTAATGTTGTAAGCCACTTGAGCATGGTTTTAACTATGGAAAGATGGCATACAAATAAAATGATGATATACAGCAACCCCAAAAAACATTTCTTTATGAAATGGCAAATGTAGGGCCTGCTTAAAGGTCTGCAAAAAGTGAAAGTGGTTTATGTATTTCCATGGAAGCAGGGTTCCACAGGTGTTGGGCCACTGTCGTAAAGTCCCTATCCCTTGTGCCCACCTGCTTATTTGCTTTCACAAATGGGCACACAAGTAGAGACCCTGATACAAGCGGCCCAATACTGAAGGATTATTTCAGGTAACCTGACCACAAACCATTTAAGACCTTAAGAGAGCCAGGGTGGTGTGCAGTGCTTTGAGTCTCGGATTAGGACCCAGGAGACTACAGTTCAGATCCCCACTTGGGCATGAAGTTCACTGGGTGATCTTGGGCCAGACACTGAACTCACAGGGTTGTTGTGGGGATTAATTGACGAGGGAGAGAACCATGCATACCACCTTGAGCTCATTGGAGAAAAAGATGGGATATAAATGCATAAATTAAATACCAGGACTTTGAACTGGATCATAAGTCTACCACATTCTGACCAACCAGCCCTCACCAATACCCAGTATGTTGCATTTTGTGCCGACTGACATTTCTGAACCATCTTTAAAGGCAGGCCCACATGGAATGCTTTACAGTAGTCCAGCTTGGTTATCACTTGTGAACGGTTCACTAAGATAAGGTCTCTTCTCTCTAAATAGGGTCGAAGTTGGCACACCAGCCTAACTTGGTAAAAAGCAGTTGGCCACTCCTGTCACCTGAACTTTCCCATTTAGTGCGGAGTCCAAAACTCCCCAACTCCATATTTTGTCATTCAGGGGAGTGCAAGCCTATCTAACAACTGCAAACTTCCATCCAGAGAACTCTGTTTACCACCCCACAGTATTTCCTTGTCTGCATTAAGCCCCAGCCTGTTCACTCTTATCCAGCTCTAAACCACTTCCAGACAGTGAGGCAAGAGTTCCATAACCTCCATGTAATGAATAGATGGAAATGATAATGGAGGTAGAGTGTCTACCGCATAGTGATGACACTTTAGCCCAAACCTCCAGGAAACTTCCCCCAGTGGTTTCATGCAGATGTTAAATGTGTGAGAGTCAAGATGCTCCACTAGACATATTCATTATAAGGCGCCACATATGTTAACAGATACAGTGGTACCTTGGTTTACTAACTTAATCCATTCTGGAAGTCCATTCTTAAACCAAAGCATTCTTAAACCAAGGTGTGCTTTCCCATAGCAGCGGGGGACTCAATTTACAAATGGAACACACTCAACGGGCAGCGAAACATGTTCTTATTCCAAGGCAAAGTTCACAAATCAAAACACCTACAGTGGTACCTCGGGTTACAGACGCTTCAGGTTAAAGATGCTTCAGGTTACTGACTCTGCTAACCCAGAAATAGTACCTTGGGTTAAGAACTTTGCTTCAGGATGAGAACAGAAATTGCGCAGATGCGGCATGGAGGCAGTGGGAGGCCCCATTAGCTAAAGTGGTGCTTCAGGTTAAGAACAGTTTCAGGTTAAGAACGGACCTCCAGAACAAATTAAGTTCTTAACCCGATGTACCACTGTACTTCCGGGTTTGCTGCGTTCTTAATCCAAGTTGTTCATAAACTAAACTGTTCTTAAACCAAGGTACCACTGTATAAAGCAGAGTGGTAGCTCCCTAGCATCGATTTCCGAGACTTATCCTCCAAAAAGGACTGAAGCGACAGTAACACAGCACCTCCTCAGCCCAACCCATACTGACAGTTCAGAAAATACCAAGGCCAATAGCACTGAAAGACACTGAGAGGTCAATAACACATAGGACTGGACTCTCCACCACTTCAATCCATTCTCCAATGCAAGTAATCCACCAGGTCAATCAAGGCTGTTTCCAAATCAGCCTGAAACAGATAATCAGCATCATCTAATATTACCTGGAGTTGAAAAACCATCACACACTCCAGCATCTTGTTCATTAATGGCAGGTAACTGGACAGTAACTATCCCACATTTAGGTCTAAATTTGGTTTCTAAAGGTGACCACATCTGAGATCCATAGTTCCAGCCCAGCCCAAACAAATTTTAGTAACTAGGAAGAGCAATGATCACTAGAACATGTGGTAGGCCTCAATCCTGCAAAGAGTGGTACTGTCTTCAAGTTGTTCTAGTCCCATCTATTTCAAACCACGTCAAATCTATGGTATTCAAGTCAGCACATATGCAAGCAACTTTATAACTCAAATGTGCAAGCAAACTGATCACAGTGGGCCTTCAAGGGTTCCAGTTTTTGCAACCCAGTGTCTACACCCCCCCCAAAAAAAAATCACTACTGGATGGCATTGAGAAAACACAATGAAGAATGACTGAAAATGAACTCTTACTTGTGTTCAGTCATATTATTTATGAATCTTCCACCATTCATTCTAATCATCAGCCCTGCTGTCTCATCATCCTCAGCTTCTTGGAATACCAATAAATTGGCTTTACTCTACAACTGGATTGAGTCAATAGCTTGTTATCCACACATTCCAAGCAGAGACCAAAGTATTGTGTGGTATCACAGAATTAGCATAAAGTTGTTTTTTGTGAAAGCACCAAAGCTACAGGACACAGCTAGGGGTGCCTACTGAAAAGAGTTAGGGTCCTACACCAATATTAAACTGCTTCTAAACAGATTGGCAGCATCCTCCCTAACACATAGAGCATTCAAACAAAACAACATCCTAGTCTGTACTGACTTTAAAATGCTGGATTCCAGCTATGAGGCAGTTTTAGGGCACTTACCGTATTTTTCGCCCTATAGGACGCACTTTTTCCTCTCCAAAAATGAAGGGGAAATGTGTGTGCGTCCTATGAGGCAAATGCAGGCTTTCGCTGAAGCCTGGAGAGCGAGAGGAGTCGGGGGCCACCGACCCCTCACGCTCTCCAGGCTTCAGGAGAGCCCCACCGCCAGCCCCACAAGCTCTGGGGACAGCGGGGAGGCGGAACGCCGCCATCCCGCTGTCCCCCGACTTGGTTAGAAGGTTTGCGGGGGGGAGAAGCCTGCTCCTCCCCGTCGCCAGGCCCGCAAACTCGAGGGACAGCGGGGAGGCGCAGCGCACCTTTCCCGCTGTTCCCCGACTTGGTTAGAAGGCTGGCGGGGGGGAGAAGCCTGCTCCTCCCCATCACCAGCCCCGCAAACTCAGGGGACAGCGGGGAGGCGCAGCGCGCCATCCTGCTGTCTCCCGACCTGGTTTGGAGGCTGGCGGAGGGCTTCCCCCTCCCCCAGCCCCGCAAGCTTCGGCATGGCTCTGGGTCCCGTTCTGGGGGCTGGGGTCGGGGAAGCTCGGGCTTCCCGCCTCAGCCCCGCGCCTGGGGGGGGGGAATAATTTGTCCCCTTTATCCCCCCCCCCCAAATCTAGGTGCGTCCTATGGGCCGGTGCGTCCTATAGGGCGAAAAATACGGTGTGTTTTTTTAAAATTATTATTTATTAAATTTATTATTTGTTAAATGTATTATATTTGTATACTGCCCTACACCCGTAGATCTCAGGGCACTTTTAAATTGTGATTTCCTCATGTTTTATCAGGCTGAGGTTTCAATCTGCCTGAAAGGGACCCCCAAAGGTCATCCAGTCCAACCCCTCCCCCCCCCCCCGGTTTGCAATGCAGGAATCTCAACCAAAGCATCAATGTCTGAGAGCTGCTCACTAGTGATAGAAGCAAATGCAAAGTCAGGCAAGATCTCTTCAAGCTTCCACACACCTTGATATTTATTTTAGCAACCTGCTCACACGGCAACATCAGAGCGACAGAGTGAGCGTGGGGAGGAGTGGAGGGAACAGGGAATATTTTATATAATAATAATAATTTTTTATTATTTATATCCCACCCATCTGTCTGGGTTTCCCCAGCCACTCTGGGTGGATTCCAGCAGAATATTAAAATACAATGATTCATCAAATATTAAAAGCTTCCCTAAACAGGGCTGCCTTCAGATGTCTTCTAAAAGTCTGATAGTTGTTTATTTCTTTGACATCTGATGGGAGGGTGTTCCACAGGGCAGGCGCCACTACCGAGAAGGCCCTCTGCCTGGTTCCCTGAAATTTTGCTTCTCGCAGTGAGGGAACCACCAGAAGGTCCTTGGAGCTGGACCTCAGTGTTCAGGCTGAATGATGGGGGTGGAGAAGCTCCTTCGGGTATACTGGACTGAGGCCGTTTAGGGCTTTAAAGGTCAGCACCAACACTGAATTGTGCCTGGAAATGTACTGGGAGCCAATGCAGGTCTTTCAGGACCGGTGTTATGTTGTCTTGGTGGCCACTCCCAGACACCAGTCTAGCTGCCACATTCTGGATTAGTTGCAGTTTCTGGGTCACCTTCAAAGGTGGCCCCACGTAGAGTGCATTGCAGTAGTCCAAGTGGGAGATGCACCACTCTGGTGAGGCGGGCAGGTAGGGTCTCAGCCTGTGTACCAGATGGAGTTGGTAAACAGCTGCCCTGGATACAGAATTGACCTGCGCCACCATGGACAGCTGTGAGTCCAAAATGACTCCCAGGCTGCGCACCTTCAGGGGCACAGTTACCCCATTCAGGACCAGGGAGTCCTCCAAACCTGCTCGCCCCCTGTCCCCCAAAACAGTACTTCTGTCTTGTCAGGATTCTACCTCAACCTGTTAGCCGCCATCCATCCTCCAACCGCCTCCAGACACTCACACAGGATCTTCACCGCCTTCACTGGTTCCGATTTGAAAGAGAGGTAGAGCTTTCAAAAGAGAGGTACAACCTCCATTCTAAATAAACACTCGCTCGGCAGCGCTTCCTTCTGCCTCCATAATCCGGCCGGCCTCAATCCCTCCACACACACACACACACACACACACACACCCGGCCCCCCAATGCCTCGGGGGTTTAGGCTCCGAGAGTCGGCACACACACACATCCCAACGCCCCCCTATCGCTCGGCCCTCCAAACCCCGGCCTCTCCTTCTCCCCCCCATCTCCTCCCCACACAATAGTCGTCCTGCCTTCCACCATCTTCCCTCGCGAGAAGGGGGGAAAAAACGCCACTTTTGTCGCCTGGGAAGGATGAGGAAGACATTCCGCCCCAGATTAATGCACAGTTCCTCACAAACCACCTCGCTCTCTCCCTCCCCCCGTGGAGCAAATAGCCTGTGAGGCAAACAAAAGATGGGAAAGGGGGGAGGGGGGAGGAAAAGGGGGCCGGCGCCACCGCCCCCCACCCTCTTTCTCCCTCCCTCCCCCCTCACAACAACACCGGGTGTTTCTTCCTTACCCCGCCCCCGCTCCGAGGAGGCGCGCGAGCCTTTCCAGAGCGCCGACACCGGCCAGCGGCGACGGCAAAAAAGGGAGGGGAAGGAGGGGAGAAAAAAAAGAGCGGGCTGTAGATGACGGCGGCGGCAGCGGCAGCGGCGGCGACAATGACGGCGAAGGCCGGCCTCAGCCAGCGAGCTCGGCAAGGCGAACGATAGAGACGGAGGGGAGAGAAAGGCGAGAGAGAGAGAGGCGAGCCGGGAGGATGGAGCGGGGGGGGGGGGGCGAGGGGGCGTTGAGAAAAGAGAGAAAGAATGGGAGGATTGTACCCCAAAGCGGCGCCTAGTGATGACCTCACTGAGTTTCCTTCGTTTTTCCCAGCATTCCTCTCTTTCTCTCTATCCGGCTTTTTGTTGTTTGTTTATTTATTTAGATATTTATCCACCATGGCTCTTCGTGTCCTACATGTGACGGGATATATGCATTATACAGAGAGAGAAACAAATGCAAATACACACACACACAAAATACATACACGCATATATATATGCGCACTCAGACGCGCGTGCACATATATGTACACACACGCACACGCACACGCGCGCACACACTTGCATGTGCTCGCGGTTTGCCCCAAGAGCACTCAATAAATTCAGCTGGCGAATTCCGCCCGCTCAGAGGCCTCCGCAGCCCCTCACGGTGCAGCCGCGTGACGGCAGTTGGCTGCCCGGGATCCTCGACTTGAAGGTTTCTTCTGGGTTGCCAAGTCCTAGGCAAGAGTTTAAAGGAGCCCTTAAATCCACATAAATCTGCCTTTAAATCTTCAAGATGGAGACAGCAGAAATGAAGGGAAAGTGAGCTTGATTATTTATATATAGATAGATGTGATGGCGTGGAGGTGTGAGATTGTGGGTGCTTTCTTGAGAGAGAAGATTATGTATGTAATATGTATATAGTGTGCATATGTATGTGTGTGTAATTATTTAACAAAAATGAATCGGATTATAAAAAAATGAACAGTTTGCCATATAAAACATTAAAATTCCTGATAAAAATAATTTAAAGCAAGTATTAAAAACATCAAAGGGATTATCAAAATCAACACTAGCTAAAAAAGAAACAAAACACCTTCAACTTCTACATGTCTGGGTAAAAGGTAAAGGTACCCCTGCCCGTACGGGCCAGTCTTGACAGACTCTAGGGTTGTGCGCTCATCTCACTCTATAGGCCAGGAGCCAGCGCTGTCTGCAGACACTTCCGGGTCACATGGCCAGCGTGACAAGCTGCATCTGGCGAGCCAGCGCAGCACACGGAACGCCGTTTACCTTCCCGCTGGTAAGCGGTCCCTATTTATCTACTTGCACCCGGGGGTGCTTTCGAACTGCTAGGTTGGTAGGTGCTGGGACCAAACGACGGGAACGCACCCCGCCGCGGGGATTCGAACCGCCGACCATGCGATCGGCAAGTCCTAGGCGCTGAGGTTTTACCCACAGCGCCACCCGCGTCCCTACATGTCTGGGTAGGCTTGCCTAAAAAATGTTTTACGCAGGTGCTGAAAACAGAGCTAGTGTGGCGTAGTGGTTAGTGCTGGACTAGGATGTGGGAGACCAGGGTTCGAATCTCCACTCTGCCATGAAGCTCAGTGGGCCAGTCACTGCCTCACAGCCAAACCTAACTCATAGGGCTGTTGTGGGATTAAATGAAGGAAGGGGGGGAACGACCATATATATTGCTTTAACTCTTTGGAGAAAAAGGCAGTATATAAATGCAATGAATAAATATAGTGAAGGTGCCTGCCTGATGCTTATAGGCAGGGAGTTCAGAAGTGTAGGTGCTGCCATGCTAAAATACATTTGCAGATTGTGTATTATATGGCAGCTGTAACACAGCCAGTTCCACAGGTAGAAGTGGGCATAGGCAATCCCGCAAGTAAACTGATCCCAGCTGTTAAGGGTTTAATATACTAATTGTAACACATTAAACATTGCCTGGTAGCAAATAGGCAACCAGTGCAGATCTGTGAGCAGAAGTATTATATGCCGACAGGGTCTTACTCCTGTCAACAACTGTGCCACAGCATTCTGCATTAACTGCAGCTTCCAGATGAAGTGCAAGGGAGGCTCCACATAGAGTGCTCCGCAGTAATCCAACCTTGAAGTCACTAGTGACTGAATTACTGTGGTCAAGCTCTCCAGCTGTAGTTGGTTGCACCAGCTGCAGCAGGTAAAAGGCATTTCTAGCCCCTGAGGCTACTTCAGTAGCAGAGCAAGATCCAGAAGCATCCTCAAAACTGTGTACCTGACCGTTAAGTGGGAGTACAACCCCACCAAGGGCAATAAATTGGCCAATTTATCAGACATTGGAACAACTAAACCATAGTATCTCTATCTTGCCAGGCTCCAAGATCAATTTATTTTCCCTCATCCATCCCACCACCTCATACAGGCACCTGTCAAAGGCCTGCATAGCCTTTCCGGAGTCAGATGTTATGGAGAAACAGAATCCAGTGTCATCAGCATAGTGTTATAAGAAAAAACTGCTCCTTTATCCCTTATGGTATCCAAGAGCCCGTATAGAGTCCTTATGTAGGTTTTCTATTGGTAGGAGAAAATAACAGAGACCAAAAAGAGAATATTGAGAAGCAAAGCAGCTAGTAAGCATGATCTTTATTAAACTGTTGCAACAGGGTCCCCTGCTTACCCCATGCAGGAAGGGAGGAGAGGAACCCAGAACAATGGTGTCCAAGCTCTTATATAGACATTTGAAATTGCCTTCCCTGTAGCTCAAGACCACCCCCCCAAAACATCATACATACATCACAGAAAGAGGTGGTCCCCAGCAGAAATTTGAGTATGTTGCTTCTCTCCTGTCTGCCAGGATATCTGAAAATACCTTATCTGATTGCCTTTTCTGGGTAGCCTGCCCATTCCTTTGAGATGGTAAATACTTAGTTCCTGAATCTCTTACGCATATTGATAGTGTGTTCAGCTTAACAGATACTTGCCAGACTGTATTTACAGGGAGGTGTAAGCCCCTACTGTCCAAAGACAATTGGAAAACGTTTCGCATTTTCTTCCTCCTTGCAGAGAAATATTTGAGGTCAATTTGGGAGAGTCAAAATGGCTTCAGGATTGTTCTCCTGTACTATTTCAGACACGTGGTTTATATACTTAAGTATGTGTTTGCGTTGTACGTTTATGAACATTTATTTTATATATATATATATATATATATATATATATATATGACCTTAGAATTCCTATAAGAATAGTAATCACACCCAACTTCCAACAGCAGGACCAGCCCACCCATGAGGTAAGGTGAGTCAACTGCCTCAGGTGGCAGGATCCATAGAACTGGCCTCCAAGGAATGTACTAACTGCTGTTGATATTTATTCCCCACTCATTCCCGATGTAAATCCTTATTCCCCACTTGTTCCTGATGTAGATTTTCACTCATCCCCTTTTCCCTGGTGTGGGAGGGGATACCATTTTGTGGTTAGCCTCGGTTGCCGAAATGTATTGGGCCTAGCAGCTTCATGTAGATACCTTTTGTCTTGCCCAGTATATCAGGAAACTCTGAAGTATTACCATAGAATAATAGAATCTTAGAGTTGGAAGGGACCCCAGGTCATCTAGTCCAACCCCCTGTAATGCAGGAATCTCAGCTAAAGCATCCATGACAGATGGCCATCCAACCTCTGCTTAAAAGCCTCCAATGAAGGATGGCAGGATGCTGGGAAGAGTGTTGGTGTGGAGAAGGGTAAAGGCACAATGAAAGTGCAGATTAAATATTAAGAAAACATATAAATAGAATGTGAACAAGGCAAAACTTGTTAGATAATAAAACAACACTTAGTGGAAGTTTGAAAAACCCAGCAGTAGAGAGATTAATTCTTTTATAGAAGGGTTCATAGAATCATAGAGTTGGAAGAGACCACAAGGGCCATCGAGTCCAACCCCCTGCCAAGCAGGAAACACCATCAGAGCACTCCTGACATATGGTTGTCAAGCCTCTGCTTAAAGACCTCCAAAGAAGGAGACTCCACCACACTCCTTGGCAGCAAATTCCACTGTCGAACAGCTCTTACTGTCAGGAAGTTCTTCCTAATGTTTAGGTGGAATCTTCTTTCTTGTAGTTTGGATCCATTGCTCCGTGTCCGCTTCTCTGGAGCAGCAGAAAACAACCTTTCTCCCTCCTCTATGTGACATCCTTTTATATATTTGAACATGGCTATCATATCACCCCTTAACCTCCTCTTCTCCAGGCTAAACATGCCCAGCTCCCTTAGCCGTTCCTCATAAGGCATCGTTTCCAGGCCTTTGACCATTTTGGTTGCCCTCCTCTGGACACGTTCCAGTTTGTCAGTGTCCTTCTTGAACTGTGGTGCCCAGAACTGGACACAGTACTCCAGGTGAGGTCTGACCAGAGCAGAATACAGTGGCACTATTACTTCCCTTGATCTAGATGCTATACTCCTATTGATGCGGCCCAGAATTGCATTGGCTTTTTAGCTCCCGCGTCACACTGTTGGCTCATGTCAGGTTTGTGGTCAACCAAGACTCCTAGATCCTTTTCACATGTACTGCTCTCAAGCCAGGTGTCCCCATCTTGTATTTGTGCCTCTCATTTTTTTGCCCAAGTGCAATACTTTACATTTCCCCTGTTAAAATTCATCTTGTTTGTTTTGGCCCAGTTCTCTAATCTGTCAAGGTCGTTTTGAAGTGTCATCCTGTCCTCTGGGGTGTTAGCCACCCCTCCCAGTTTGGTGTCATCTGCAAATTTGATCAGGATGCCCTTGAGTCCATCATCCAAGTCGTTGATAAAGATGTTGAATAAGACCGGGCCCAAGACAGAACCCTGTGGCACCCCACTAGTCACTCTTCTCCAGGATGAAGAGGAACCATTGATGAGCACCCTTTGGGTTCGGTCAGTCAGCCAGTTGCAAATCCACTGAGTGGTAGCATAGTCAAGACCGCATTTTACCAGCTTCTTTACAAGAATATCATGGGGCACCTTGTCAAATGCCTTGCTGAAATCAAGGTAGGCTACATCCACTGTGTTCCCTTCATCTACCAGGCTTGTAATTCTGTCAAAAAACGAGATCAGGTTAGTCTGACATGACTTATTTTTCAGAAATCCATGCTGACTATTGGTGATCACAGCATTCCTTTCTAGGTGCTCACAGACTGTTTGCTTAATGATCTGCTCCAGAATCTTCCCTGGTATTGATGTCAGACTGACTGGGCGGTAATTATTTGGGTCCTCTCTTTTCCCCTTTTGAAAATAGGGACAACATTTGCCCTCCTCCAGTCTGCCGGGACTTCGCCTGTTCTCCAGGAATTCTCAAAGATGACTGCCAGTGGTTCTGAGATCACATCTGCCAGTTCTTTTAATACTCTTGGATGCAGTTCATCTGGCCCTGGAGACTTGAATACATCTAAACTAGCCAAGTATTCTTGTACTATCTCCTTAGTTATTCTGGGCTGTGTTTCCTTTGCTGAATCATTTGCTCCAAATTCTTCAGGTCGGGCATTGTTTTCTTTATTGGAGAAGACTGAGGCAAAGAAGGCATTGAGGAGTTCAGCCCTTTCTGTGTCCCCTGTTTGCATTTCACCATCTTCTCCTCTGAGTGACCCCACTGTTTCTTTGTTCTTCCTTTTGCTACGAACATACCCATAAAAGCCTTTTTTGTTGCTTTTAACCTCTCTAGCAAGCCTGAGTTCATTCTGTGCTTTAGCTTTTCTGACTTTGTGTCTACACGTGCTGGCTATTTGTTTGAATTCCTCTTTGGTGGTTTCCCCTTTTCCATTTTTGTACACATCCTTTTTTTAATCTTAACTCAGTTAAAAGTTCTTTAGATAGCCACCCTGGCTTCTTTAGGCACCTTCCATGTTTCCGTCTCATTGGTATTGCCTGACATTGTGCTTTTACTATCTCCCTCTTAACAAACTCCCAGCCATCATGAACTCCCTTTCCTTTTAGTATTACTGTCCATGGGATCTCACCCAGCACTTCCCTAAGTTTTATGAAGTCGGCTTTCTTAAAGTCAAGAAATTGAGTCCTAGTATGCTTGGCTGCTCCTTTCCGCTGTATAGTAAACTTCAGAAGAGCATGATCACTTGCACCTAATGATCCTTCCACTTCTACCCCACTAACCAGGTCATCAACATTGGTTAGGACCAGATCTAAAATGGCTGTTCCTCTTGTTGCTTCTCCCACTTTCTGGACAATGAAGTTGTCTGCAAGGCCAGTGAGGAATCTGTTTGACCTTATGCTCTTGGCTGAGTTTGACATCCAACAAATATCCGGGTAATTGAAGTCCCCATTACTACTATCTCCCTTCCTTTTGCATGCTTGGCCATCTGTTCCAGGAAGGCATCATCTATGTCCTCCGTTTGGCTTGGGGATCTATAGTAAACTCCCACAATGAGGTCACTGTTATTCTTCTCTCCCTTAATTTTGACCCAAATGCTCTCACTTTGGCTTTGAGGTTCTAAATCTTGGATCTCTTCACAGGTATACACATCCCTGACATATAACGCCACACCTCCTCCTTTCTTGTCTGGTCTGTTTCTCTGAAATAGATTGTATCCCCCCATTATTACATTCCAATCGTGGGACTTATCCCACCAGGTTTCAGTGATGCCTATTATGTCATATTTAGTTTGCTGTACCAAGAGCTCAAGCTCATCTTGTTTATTTCCCATGCTTTGCGCATTAGTGTACAGACATTGAAGTCCATTAATCATTTTATACTGTTGTAATTGCTCACTGTTATTATGATTATAAATATTACTATCTGAGATGACTTCCTGGCAAAGAAAGTGAACAGAGGACCAACTGAAGGATCAGGTGCACCAGTCAAAGGTTTGTTTTGTGGGAAACCAACGATTTCTGGATTTTTTTGTTGGTGCTAGTATAAAATTGAAATACAACAGGTTAGAACTGAAGACTTGTCTTTTGGAGAAGATGTCCTAAAAATATAAAGAAGGGACATTGTAACAAACTGAGGAGAAAATGCATGGGGGATCAGCAGAACTATTTGGAAATTTTATATTGGAAATAGATTTTTCAGTCCCATTAACAAATCACCCAAACCAGTGAAGTAACTTAGTTTTCACTTATTTAGGGTGCAAATGAACTCATCCTATATAAAATGAGCATTGTTGAAATTAACAGGAGTTAAATGCTGAATTGTGCACAACTGCAGCCATGGTTTTTTAATATGTAAATCTTTATCAGATGCTCCCTAACAACAACAGCTCACCATTACTCCTGTTTTTCATACAAGGGTCTTAGGTAAAGTAGTAGCAACTATCCAGATAAGTCTGTGGCAGGGGTAGGAAGTGTATCCACCTGTTCCAGATTCAAGTGCTGCTCTTAGTTTCTGGTTAATGATTCCAATGGCCAATAACTTTATGCTTTAAAAAATGCTCTCAGGGTGGCTTACAGTTTACAAACTCATGCAAACTACTTCAATTAAGAAGAATATAAGACAGATTTAAAATAAAATAAAAGCATTTACAGCAGAAATTTTAAATACTATTGTAAATCCAAGCCGGATGGACTTGGTCTGGCATCAAAAATCTAGTAACGATAGTGCCAGCCACCACAGAAAAGTAATCAAAATGAGCCATCAGGACATTCAGAGCCAGACAGCAAATGGGGTGGTGCCTCTCCTCCAATTGTGTGTTAGTGGGCAGAGACGAAAAGGGTTTAGGATTTTAGGTTTTTGGGGTGATGTAGGCTGGGGAGAAATACTTTTTCAGTCAGTTAGTGGTGACAAGGAAGAAAGAGCATCATGTGAACTAGCTGTGACAGGCTGTAACAAAGAGACAGAATGGCTGCTTTCTCTGTCCTGAGATCCAAGCCTACTGCCACTATGGGAGAAGCAAGAAACCTTATTGGAATGTGAATGCTCTAAACTCTCTCCACCTAGACTCAGGTTGTATATGTGTGTAAATAAAGCATATACCATAAAGACACCACAGTCTCTGCTGTGTCTCATTGTCCAAAGGGAAACAAGCCCTTGGAATCTTGCACTCAAAGATTAGGGTGGTGTGCAACAATATGTACCATAATTTGGTGTGACAGTGCTCCTCATGTAAGCACATACACATTTTTTGGTTGTTGTTGGATACAATCTATTTTATTGAGCTGGAAAAAATGTTTTCTTTTTTCCCACACGTTCACAAAACCCCTGAAGCCCATCCATGGAGCCCCTAGAGGTCCATGGATCACAGATTAAGAATCCCTGATATAGAGGGAAAAATAATCTCGGATGATGGCAGTGATTATACTCTTTCAATTATGCTTTAGTTACTCGTTCTCCTCTCTGCAAATAGCCAGTTGGCACTGTAAAAAAAAGTAACTTCTTTGCTTGAATTTTAAAAAATTGCTCTGAATCCAGTTATTGCAGGAGACCGAACCGCAACACAGGGTCTTCTGTGGAATCTGAAAGGTACGTGTCAGGGCCTGCTTCCAAATCTTGTATAGAATTGGTGGGAGGTACATCTAGTGTTATAAATTGTGAGCAACAAGACAGGCTGTCAACGGCAGATGGGCTTGTACTTGATTGCCAATTAAAACACACACACAAAGATGTTTAAACTAGCTCACACATCTGTAGTTGGCAAAGTGGTGAGCAACTCCATGTGTCGTACATGAGGTTGCTGTGGCAACCACACCATACCTTAATCATAAGTGTTTTGAAGTGAGCGATTGGTAAGTACAGACAGAAGAGGGCCTCAGGTTGAAACTGTCCCATACTGTCTCCTCTCTTTTGTTTCAGGGGTGCTCTTTTTACTTTCCTCTTGAAATATTCCAAGCTGACAACTAACTCTCTTCATGCTTCTAGGATTAAAATCAGCAGACAGGCCATACAAATGATAATTGGGCCTTCCCTACAGTCTTCTGTGGGGGATGGGAAACCATTTAATTCCACCACCAGCCTTTCCCAACAAATGCCAGTATAGCTTGCTGATAAACCATTCTTGTAAAGCACTCTTTGAAGACCCCCAACGCTGTGTGTGTGTGTGTGTGTGTGAGAGAGAGAGAGAGAGAGAGAGATTGTGGTCGCTTCCAGATTGCCTGCTTATTGAGCATTCATCCTGGTTTTCTATGCAAGGAGGTTATGCAGCAGTGCATCAAATATTATGCCACACTTCCCAGTGCTCATAAGGAGAGCCTGCTGAATCAGGCCAGTGGCCTATGTCAGGGTGGTCCAGTATGTGGCCTGAGGACTGCACATGGCCCTTGAGGCCTTTGTTGGTGCCATTTGGTGAAATGTGATGCCCCCCCCCCTTCAGCCGTCATGCTGCCTTCCCAAAATCAGGTAAGTGTGGCGCTGGGCTTTGGAAAAGAGGTGTGAGAGCTCTGCCAGGGTCCTTGAGCCCTCCTTCTGTCTTCCCAAAACCTAGTTGGTACTCCTTCTGCCCAGTGCCTCACTTAGCCAGCTTTGGCTGGACAGGTGTCAAATTTTGGCCTTGTGCCCTGCCGCCTCCACAACAAGGCAGTGTGTGGCCTATGGGTTCTGTCTCAAAGTACTCTTGTGGCTTACTTGGTATGAAAAGTTGGACTGCCCTGGTCTATATAGTCCAGCATCCTATTCTCAAAGTGACCAACCAGAAGAAGCCTGTGGGAAGCCTGCAAACAGGACATGAGCACAACAGCACTCTGCCCACCTGTGATTCCCAACAACTGGTATTCAGACGCATATCACCACTGACAGTGGAGGTAGAACATAGCCACTGAATTTGCCTGATCTTTTAAAGCCATTCAAGTCAGTGGCTGTCACTATTTTTCGGGGAAGCAGATTCCATAGTTTTACTATGCACTGCATGAAGAAGTACCGTATTTGTTGCTCTATAAGGCTCACTTTTTCCCTCCTAAAAAGTAAGGGGAAATGTGTGTGCGTCTTATGGAGCGAATGCAGGCTGCGCAGCTATCACAGAAGCCAGGACAGCAAGAGGGATTGCTGCTTTCACTGCTGTCCTTCTTGCTGTTCTGGCTTCTGAGATTCAGAATATTTTTTTTCTTGTTTTCCTCCTCCCAAAACTAGGTGCGTCTTGTGGTCTGGTGCTTCTTATGGAGCGAAAAATACGGTACTTTCTTTTATCCGTCCCGAAGGATCCAACATTCAGCTTCATTGAGGTCCACAAGTTTTATTGTTAAAAGAGAGGGAGAAAAAATATTTCTCCCATCTATTTGCTCCATGCGAAGCATAATTTTATAAACCTCTGTCATGTCACTTCTTACCTTTTCTCTAAACTAAAAAAAGCCCCAAATTTTGTAACTTTCCCTCATAGGGGAGTTGAGGTGAGGCGACTGGAGAACTGTACACAGTACTCCAAATGCAGTCGCACCATAGATTTGTATAATCGCAGTTTTATTAGCAATTCCTTGCCACAGCTGGACTAGGCAGACCTTTGGTCTAAGCCAGTGGGGCTCCTTTTATGTTTTTATCCTCTGAAAATTGCTGGAAACATCAGCCAACATATTTAATTTCCTTTCATAACTGCAAAAACTTTTCGTTGATTTATTTTTTTTACCAACTTGGTGTCCTGCATGATGGCTGGAGCTGATAGGAGTTGTAGCCCAAAACATCTGGAGAGCACTAGGTTGGCAAAGGCTGTCATATCTGATCTCTGCAGGGTGCTTCTGAAATCTGTGGGTTTCAAATGGCCATGTGAAGATCCAAGCCAACTGTGCAGTCCTCTTCATAGTCTCCCCAGGGATGCTGTGTGGACAGAAATGTACCGGCCCTTGCCAGGACCAGTTCTCTGATACAAGTTTAGGCATTATCATGCTCAACCTTCCAAGAACAGGAAATTGACAGAAGGAAACCGCATTAAACGGATTTCTAGCAAAAATAATAAATATTTAAATATTGGACTCAGTCCAGTAAAATTAGTAAGAGTTTGCTGTTTCCCATAATGTCAGAGTAGTTGCATTCATGGTTTGCATTACCAACAAAGATCAGTGCCACACTCTTTTCATCCACCCAGAGAACCACACCTAGTGGTAATAACATCCCTTTTATTTCTTAATGTTCTATTAAGTGAATGTTTACTAGCCCGAACTAGTCCAAAGTGATTGATGAAATGCTTATCTTCTTATAATGCACCTTAAGTCAGGGAGGTAAGTGCCAGAGGACTTAGAATAATACTTACAATAATATCTCCAGGTCTCTTCCTCAACAGCACACTTTTCATAGGCAAAACATCTGCTGGAGTTTCAACTAATCAGCTAATTATACTGAGAAGCATGGGCCACGCGAGTTAGACAAATTCACGCAGCAGAAGGCTATCAATGGCTATTAGACAGGATGGCTATGCTCTGCCTCTACAGTTGGAGCAAGTAATGTATCTGAGCATCAGTTGCTGAAAACCACAGTAGCTGAGAGTGCTCTTATGCTTGAATCCTGCTTGTGGGTGTCCCATAGGCTATCTGGTTGGCTACTGTGAGAACAAGATCCTGGACTAGATGGGCCATTGGTCTGATCCAGCAGGCTCTTCTTATGTTCATGATCCACTAGGATATTCTCCTGCTTAAGGTTGGAAAAGCAGCTATGCAAAGATACTCAGGTAGGTACATGGTGCAACATGCTTGCTGCAATCGAGCACATCTTGATGTGGTCAGTGTCTAGAGGGAAGACCACCTTGGAGCTCTATGCATGTTTCCTTGAGTTCTGTGATGTTACAAAAGGTGGGATATAAATGCAATAAATGCTGTGATCATCTACAATTCACATCAGTCAAGAGGGTGCATATTATCACTAGTATTGCTAAATAGGGGCACTTCTAGGCTGTCACTAATCTCAGGTGGGGATTCAATCACGCACTTGCAAATCCAGGTTCTACATTTACAATTGACTGGGAGGTCTTGGGAACAAATTCACTTTCCCAGAAACATTGGATTTTGGGAGGGGAGGGAGTAACGAATGTGGCAGGGAAATGCACTGGAAAGTGCTGGTAACAGTTGCTCTGATGTAACTTCATCTATCCACCCCACAAACAAATCAGAATAAGCTGTACCTAACATCAGTCACATTTGCAGCAAACCCATTGGCATTAATAAGTCACAACTAACAGGTACATTAATTTCAATGGGTTTGCTCTGACTAAGGCACCATTATTCGGAGCCAACATTGTCTAGTATCCCTGCAAAAATCCAGATGAATGCTTAGTATGGAAGGTGCCCATCAATATGTGTATTGATTGAAGGCTTTTTTATTGCAGAGACTTTCTGGAATATCGTGCCTTCTGTCCCCATGCTTTGCATCACTGTAACAGGATCCCGAAGTACAACTATTTACTTCCCTCACTTAGAGTAGCTGACAGCTGTTCACTTCTATTGCAGGAATGGTGGTGGGAGAGAGTGGTGCAGTTAAACCTGTCGAGGAGAGATTATTAATTTCATTGACTTCATTCATTGAGACTAAAGCCTGCCCCTTATTTGCATAGCCCTTCTTTTTAATCCGTATCACCTCAACTTGGATTTTGAAAACAAGGCATGGGGGAACCTTCTGCAGCCAGGGCCAGCCCTACCATGAGGTAATATGAGGCAACTGTCTAAGGCACCAGATTTCTTTTGGGGGGAGGGGGGTAGCAGCAGCACCTTGGATGTTCCTCCTAAACCCCCTTACCATCCCATCTGTTGGAGAACAGAGCTCTGCACGCTCCATTACATGTTCTGCCCACTCTAAATTAGCCTGCTGGTTTGGGTGCAGTGGAGGAGACCATCATTTTATTGGTGTCGTAAGTTTTAGTTTTCAGTCCAGTCTGTTTCTGTATGTGGAATGTGGGGAGGGAAACATCTTGTACTTTGCTCCAGGCAGCAAGTTTCTGGGCATGCCCTGGCTACAGTTCCCATCATCCCCAACCATTGGCAATGCTGGTTGGGCCAGTTAGAGGTTGGGGACCAACAATATCTGGAGGGCTATAGGTTCTCCACCTTTGCTTTACAGGGTCAGCATGTCTGTGTGTGTTTAGTTACAAAATGCACATCTGTAGAGTGTATGTTTAGGAAAAGCCACATTTTTAAAAAACGTACTCTTTAATGTCCACTAGGGGGAGAAAGGTTTGTGATTCAAATTCATATCCTAGAATTATACATTTTTATTCCTATTTAGCAATGTCACCTTTAATTTGCAAAAAACCCCAAACCCATCTCTGTGTGTGTCTGTGTGTACACACAAACCAGTCGAATTGTTCAGATGTAAGCTTAACTCTTTAAAAAAATACCCAACCCTTTTCTAACTGAAATATTTAAATTTTCTCCTTTGATCCCCTTCTGGTGCTGTGATGTTATTTTAACAGTTAATTCTGGAGTGTGTTTTATACTTATTTTTTGTTTTCTGTACCCCACTGGTATTTTATGTGACTGCTTTATGAAATATTTCAAAATGGCAGATAGATATCCTAACTTCACATTCTAGCTTTGCATTTGCAGGGAAGTCTACCCACCCACCCATGTGTAGAAGCCTTCACACCTGCACTTTGAAGTGGTATCCATTAGGAGCAGGTGCATCATGTGACCATGCCGATCATGTATCTTAATTCTCAGAGTGCACATATATGACCACAACAGAAATATCTTATTCCATGTGTGGTCTTGTAATCACTTGGATAAGTGCAGAATGTTTGGTTGGACACATATTAGCGATAGGACAAAAAAGAAAGAGTTAGTGAGAGGTGTGCAATCTTTTAACACCTATTGTTTGGTCATGCCGGTGGATGTGATGTGCTGTAAATGAAATGTATGAAGAAATGAACAGGAGGATAACCATGGAAGAAAAGTCTCGCCCGTGGCCCCATCATATGTATCACTGAGGTGAAGCACTTTAAACCACAAGCATAAAAATGGACAACTGAGTGTTTTCTGTTGAACCTTGGCTACTAATTCAGCCTTAATGCAGGTTTTTGGAACAAGTTTATTAACAGTGTTATGTCGTTTCCTTGTCTGTTTGAATTTACATCCTGCTCTTCCTCTGAAGGAGCCCAGGATGGCAAAGAAATTTGCAATTTAAAAGCAAAGCAAATTTTTTTCCAGAACAGTTAAAACATCCTAAAAACAATTACAATTAAAAACATTTGAAAAGCGGTTGCAGTTACAAACTTCTTCCGTCCAATGATCTTGGGGTTGCTAGGAAGAGTATTTTTCAGCCAACAAATGCCAGGGTAAAGGGGGATTTTCCAAATTCATCCTGAAGGTTAATAATATTGCAGCAGGGTTCCTTTTAAGCCAGGAACTTGTGGCCTTCCCAATGTTTTTGGACTACAACTCCTATGTCATTGGTCATGCTGTTGGGAGGTGGAAATAGACGAAATCTGAAAGGCCCCCAACTCCCCACCCATGTACTAACTAGACCCTCTCCTTGAATTTTCAGCTTTGATTTTTCAAAAAAAGTATTTTAAGTCTTGCAAAGCTTATCCACACTACTTCTTCTGCTGATTTTCCACAGGGGGAAATTGCTCTGTAGCGCTCAAACAGAGCAAACAGCAATTCGGGTTTTCTGCAGATTGCTGTTTGAGAGCGGGTTTTTCCTGGAAGAGGAATGGGGCAAAAGGAAAACCACTCATACCCATGCTTTCTAGGCATGTGGAAGTGAGAGCGAGCCCTAACAGCACAATCCTATACATGTCCAGACAGGAGTGAGTCCCACTGAGTTTCAGTGGGACTTTATTCCTGGAAAGTGTGTATGGAAATGCAGCTTAAACCTTTCACTTGTGTCTATACCCTGTATAGAATGCTGATGTGTGTTTTAGTGTGGTTTTGGTTTATCGCTAAAATTAATTGGGCATGTTTTAAATAGTTGTTTTTAACTGTTTACTGATAGTTTTACTGTTATACTCATTTTGTAAACCACTTGGAGGTTTTTTGGGGGGTTTACAATCAAGTTGTGTATAAATTTTATGAAAGAAAGAAAGAAAGAAAGAAAGAAAGAAAGAAAGAAAGAAAGAATTTTTTGAAAAGTGCGTACGACATGTTGTATTCTATCAGTTGCTCTCTAGGAAGAAATATAGTTAAATCAAATAGGCTATTAGTCTTTATGTTGCGGTTCTTCTGCAGTGATCCCCCCCCCCCGCCCCCCAAAAACCAACAACACTAGCCTGGCCATAGGTCTCCTTTTGTTCCAGGCAACTTTCTAAGTACCTTGTTCAAGTGTGCTGGGTTTGTGACACAGCAGCTAAATGTCCACTAGATGCCAGGCTTCCTTTGCACAGAACAGCAGTGCTATGGGCTTCATGGAACATCACACAGCTATTTGGCAGAAAGAAACCAACCTTTCCCACTGAGGTTACTAGGGTTTTGGAGCTGGCCTTTGTAGACAGAGTTGTGTCCATACTCCATTTCTTTTAACCTGGTAGAATTCTACACGCTGGAAATGAAGCGCTTATAAATATGATAAACCTTTGATTTTTATTAAAAACAAAACAAAACAGAATATGTGTTGCAATTAAAATATACATTTGACTATATTAGATTCTTAATTTATGGATTGATACTCAGGGTTTTTTCTTTTAAGCACAGGGATTTTAGGACTTAATTTGGATGTTTTGTATAATTATTGGATGGTTGATTGAGAAGATGGTTTGATCATTGGTTGCAAGATACACTGCTTCTGCCACATGTAAGTCAAACCAATCAATTTCTCTCACATTGTTTCAAGTTTTGCAAATATGAAAAGAAACTGAGTTGTTGTGTTTTGCTTCTGTTGAGCATCTCAGATGTAATACTTGCATGCATCCCCCCCCATTTTTTTTTAATATTCTGCTCCCAAGAATCCTGTTTCTGTGAAATTGGATAGTTTCTAAGTTTATGCAAATTGAGAAGATGTGTAAAAATATTAAATATTTTGAAATTGCTAAGACACAGGAGCAGCAAGGACTCTGAAGCCCTGTCCACAACCACTGAAAGTATTACTCAGTATCATCCATACTGACTGCTAGTATTTTAGTGGTGTTGTTCACACTTTCAGGCATTATCCCTTCCAGTGGTGAATTCAGGTCATGAGTGCCAAAGAGAGAGGTATCTGCATGCTTAGGGGAACCCCAAGTTTTGCAAAAGGGCAAAAAAAAAATCATAAGGAAAAATACCCTAAAGATGACTATGGAATGCTGACTATCTGTTGAGGGGGAGAGATGGAATGGAGCATGCTGATGGGAGCGTGGCTGGCTGGCTGGAACACTGAGCAGGCGCACTGTGTATTGCAACATTTTGTCACAGGTCCCATGGAAAGGAAGGAAAAGAGAGAAAGAAAAGAAAGCAGACATGCCCAGGAGACAGAGATTCTGTATCCACTTTCCTATTCTGTGCTTTTCTTGCAGAATCAAGGCATATTCACAGCCTTGTTTATACCTGCATTCTGCCACCATAATGGCGGAAAGGAATTAATTTTTATGAATTAGGCAGGCACAGATAACTTCAGAAAATCCATATTACACATATGATGTAAAAAAGAAGGCTTTTCTGATTGATCACTAGGTTCAGAGAAGGTCAGTAAGGGCTTTTACTTGCACTTGTTTAACATTGGCGAATATGCAAAGGATTGCTGTTTCCCTTTAAATGAAGCCGCAAGAATTTCAGACTGAGAATAGACAGTACATTTTCTGTCCTAATCTTAGTTTTCTTTCATCAGTAACAGCTGCTGGATTGGGGTCAAGGGCCACATTGCCTCTTGGCCAACCCTCCAGGGGCCCCATGCAAAAGTGGGTGTGGCTAAAGTGAGCATGCCTACCACACACTTGTGTGCAGACATGCACAATACACATACATGCATCACAGAATCCTAGAATTGTAGCATTGGAAGGGACCCCAAGGATCATGTGGTCCATCTTCCTGCAATGCTGGAATCCTGCCCAAAGCCCAGCAGATACACATACAGCACACAATCCCATAGTACATATGTGGGATTAAATAAATGCACACACACAAACTCCCCATCTCTGTGGTGCATAGGATTGAGTCCAAATTCATAAATCACTAAAACTTGAGCCATTTTTACAGCCTGATATTATGGATTCAGCAAGACCCACTTGGTTAAATAGGACTTACACTCAAGTAAGACTGCCTAGACTCTAAAGTCACCCTTTCACAAGTCCATTAAACCCAGAATCAAATATTATTAGCTGGTGATGGAAAAGCAATGCCTTAGCAGTGGTCAACATGTGGGCAATACTTTGTCTTCTACTCACAGCTGGTTTTAACAAAACAGCTTGCTACTAGAGAATGAATATTCTGTGTTTGGATAGATAAATAAGGGATGTGATAGGGAAGCAGCAAGGGAGATTCAGGTGATAAGACTATAGCTCAGTGTCGGGGCTGTAGATGATTCCAGGTTCCATCTCTGGAATGTCCTGGGTCTGAATCTCTGCCTGTCAGTGTGGACAACGCCCAGCTAAGTGGACCAATGACTTGACTTTGTACAAGGCACTTTTCCATGTTCCTGTGGCAGCAGAGGGATGAGTAAAGTGAGGTGCTGCATACTGAAAAGAAGGTGCAGAGGCAGGAGTGGGAGAAGGAAATTCAGGAAAGTAACTATAGATGAGCTTGTGCCAAATGGAGTGAGCGAGAAGGATGTAAGCTGAGACAAGGGAAGAGATACTACAATCCTATACTCCCTTACCCAAGAGTAAGCACCATCCAACTCTATGGGACTGACCTCTGAGTAGATATGTATAGGATTGCACTGATAGACAGGGGCAGAGAGAGGGAGAATTTAAAAGGGTGGGTAATCAGCTTAATGGCGTATTTGAATACCTAGTAGACTCAAAAGTGCCCATTTAAGAGAAGCAGAGGAATTCACAGGTTTAGTCATTGAAGGTTTTGTTTCGATTGCACATTTACTGTCAGACTATTTTGTTTAGAATTAGGTCATTTTGGTTTTTAAACTGTTGTGTGCCACTTTTGGCATCGGTAATAATTCAAAGACAGTTTATAAGATTAAAAACAATAAAAACGCTGTTTAAAAGGGGCTATTCTGTAGCTACCAGCTTTCAACCTGTTCTTTCCTCCTTGCCTTCTGTCGTGTGTGTGTGTCTGCAGGGTAGGATTCACTGATCCCCATGAGCCAGAACTATTGTGAGCAGCACGAAATACCTGTTTCACAGGAGAAAAACTTGCAACGCTCAGAACCTCCCCTCCAACAACACCTAGAAAATACCTACAACCCCGCCGCCCAAATAAAACCACAGATAGAAAGCAGGCTACTCCTCCCCACCCCCCCAAAAAGGAATCCAACAAAACCCTTGGTTGTTTTTTTAAAAAAGAAAATAAATAGGAGGGTCACATGGCCTTGGCTGGCAACAAGGGTGCCATATTGGTCACAAATGCCAGATTAGAAAAGGTAAAGGGACCCCTGACCATTAGGTCCAGTCGTGACCGACTCTGGGGTTGCGGCGCTCATCTCGCTTTACTGGCTGAGGGAGCCGGCGTACAGCTTCCGGATCATGTGGCCAGCATGACTAAGCCGCTTCTGGCGAACCAGAGCAGTGCACAGAAACGCCATTTACCTTCCCTGAACAATATTATTACTCACATTGGGCTTTGGAAAGAGAGCAAACTCATTCAGGTCAAGCACGGTTGAGCAATCACTGGGTGAAAAAGTCATATAAGTCTTGAGTGTTAGACTTCAATGTAACAAAGCCAGGTTCAAATCTCCAGAAGGGTGGTCATGTGTCCTACTTTACAGTGTGCTACTTTTGAAGGAGTCCTAAAAGGTAAAGGTAAAGGACCCCTGACAGTTAAGTCCGGTTGCGAACGACTCTGGGGTTGCGGTGCTCATCTCGCTTTACTGGCCAAGGAGCCGACGTTTGTCTGCAGACAGTTTTTCCAGGTCATGTGGCGAGCATGACTAAGCCGCTTCTGGCGAACCAGAGCAGCGCACGGAAACGCCGTTTACCTTCCCGCTGGAGTGGTACCTATTTATCTACTTGCACTTTGACATGCTTTCAAACTGCTAGGTTGGCAGGAGCAGGGACCAACCTAATGCCAGATTAGGAACCCCATAAAGATATAAGAAGAGCCTTCTGGATCAGGCCAATAGCCCATCTCGTCCAGTGGCCAGCTAGAGGCCTGTGGGAAACCCACAAGCAGGACCTGAGCACGAGCCCTTTCCCCCCTGTGGTTTCCAACATACTGCCTCAGACCACGAAAGAAGAGCATAGCCTCCCCCAAGTGTAGGACCCTATATTTACCTCAGGCAGTATCTATGCACATAGATTTACCTGAAATTAAATCCTCATTAAACACAGACTGGCTGACTTCTTGCTGATCTTGGGAGGTTGCTAGTGTGCCCTGCGTCCTCAAGGGGACAAACCTAGCCTTGTGCATTCCCACAAGACCCTGCCACAGGTCTGCCAGTGAATGCCAGAAGAGAGCTATAGCCCCATCCTTCCTAAAGCTTGCTTTGAGCCAGGACTTAAGACCTCGATCTGATTTGAATGCCACCGTGTAGCTTTGGAAGATATGAAGTAATAACAGAAAAAGTTAAAACAAAACAATACAAAATGCCATTCTGGTTGTCTTTTCCTCCAGGCTGAAGAACCAGAAGCAGTCTTTACAAGCCTAGAATTCAAGGGGAAGGTTTTTCTGTCAGTAGATTTGGCTTCTAGGCAAGTATAAGCCCTGGCACATTCTCCCTCTCTCTCTCTCTCTCTGCTTAGCACCTGTTCCATCATCTTTTGGTTTGGCATGATTTGTTCTTGAAAAAGCCCATGCTGGGTGCTTCTTAACCACTTCCTTGAAACGCTTGCCAACTCACTGTTCAAAGATCTCCCTGGGCATGGCAGCCTCTGATTATAGAGTGCCACCACACTCATCAAGTGGGAATGAGGTTGGCAGCAGCATTGGCAACAAACATTCTTCTTCTTTTTTAATAGAACGTATTCATTTACTGCTTAATATATAAAAAGAAACCCCTAAGTGGTATAATCACAGGGCAGAGATTAGAAATCAGTGTCAATTCGTATGAAGAATACAACAATGAAATTCAAATAAGACCTTCTAAATGCTAGGCGAAAAACAAACCACTAAGAGGGTGGATAGCTTTTATGTGTACTCCATATAATTAGGGAAATTTTGTTTGTTTATCTATTACATACCCTTCAACCTCAGGTGATTTGGGACATGAGCTCACTTTCCTGAGCCTGATCCCACCATTAACAAGGCACCTCGAAGTGGGGCAGGGATGGCTTTATTCTCTCCCACCCCCCCTTCTATTTTCTGAGAAGTGAAAGCATGCTGAGTTGGGAAACACTCTGACCTTGAGAGGGAGGGGGATCTTTCCTTTGGACAGACAGGCCTAGCTTTTAATTATTTTCTGAGTCCACTCCAATCATGGTAATTTGGAG